ATAGTGTGATAGTCATGAAAATCATACAAATATGGAATGGTTTTATTTACTTTCCCATAGTGTGATAGTCATGAAAATCATACAAATATGGAATGGTTTTATTTACTTTCCCATAATGTGATAGTCATGAAAATCATACAATTATGGAATGGTTTTATTTACTTTCCCATAGTGTGATAGTCATGAAAATCATACAAATATGGAATGGTTTTATTTACTTTACCATAGTGTGATAGTCATGAAAATCATACAAATATGGAATGGTTTTATTTACTTTCCCATAGTGTGATAGTCATGAAAATCATACAAATATGGAATGGTTTTATTTACTTTCCCATAGTGTGATAGTCATGAAAATCATACAAATATGGAATGGTTTTATTTACTTTCCCATAGTGTGATAGTCATGAAAATCATACAAATATGGAATGGTTTTATTTACTTTCCCATAGTGTGATAGTCATGAAAATCATACAAATATGGAATGGTTTTATTTACTTTCCCATAGTATGATAGTCATGAAAATCATACAAATATGGAATGGTTTTATTTACTTTCCCATAGTGTGATAGTCATGAAAATCATACAAATATGGAATGGTTTTATTTACTTTCCCATAGTGTGATAGTCATGAAAATCATACAAGTAAGGGAGCTGCATGGTCTCGAGGCATAGCGTCTGCCTCGAGCACTGGAGGTCGCGGGTTCAAGCCCTGGTGAAGGCTGGAATTTTTTCACGTGGTCTTTTAGTAATTTCCCCTGGTCTCTGGGTAGTGAGATCGGACGCCCGTGTGCATTGTTGTGCATGTAAAAAATCCCTTGGCAGTTGGATATCGAATCAGAGTAGCCTAAAGGCGCTGCCCAGGCACAATTTTGAGTTACAAATCTACCCAAAGTATTTCAGGATCCTCGCCGGTGCTACAGAGTTCGTTCACTGCGCTGAGATTCTTTGGACACAGACTTGAGTCAGAAGTAGAACGGAGCACTTATCTTATGAGTTACTATCCTTGTGCAACGATGTTGATCTGTCATCTAAACCTAAACCATGCGAGTATGGAATGGTTTTATTTACTTTCCAAAAGTATGATCTCCAAAAGTATGATCTCCAAAAGTATGATCTCCAAAAACAAAATTTACAAATGAAATTTAAAAAAAACACAAAAAACCAAAAAAACCACATACACGCACACACACCTGAAGATCTCGAATAGTAAACTCCTCCTCATTTATGAAAGCATAGTCAGCTCCAGAGGCAAGGGCAGCAACTGTTGCTAAGAAACCACAGTTATCTCCACCAATTTCCACAATAGCGACACACTTCTGAACACTAAAAGCTGATCTTTTGAGCTCATCACAAGCCTGTATTCGGCAATTATAGATTTCTGGTAGTCATAAGTATCTGGTCTGTGTACGACTATTATGATGTTACATATAATCTGATTGACATAAGTATACTTTATTTTATTTTTAGTATTTATTTAATTTTCTACTGTGTTGTCTGTCATCATACTTTTTTTAAAGTGATTAATAAATTGTAAATGTATAATTTCTTCTTCTTCTTCTTCTTAGTGTTACCAGCTGAAAACTAGCAGAAAGTTCTGGTTGTTCATCAACATCTAGATTCTGGTCTTGTTTCAGAACTTGAGTTTTGCATGCACATACAGTTTTACAAATCCGGCTCACTTGCATGCAGACTGTTGATCCTTTGCCTCACAGGCACATGCACTCAAACTTCCAGGGAAATATCCCAATCAGTCGCCTTGTATGACATGCCTGTTAGGGAGGCAGTGCCCCCCCCCCCCTTTCCCCCTTTCAACATGGCCTCGAACCCTACATAAGGAAAAAGAAGACTGAGTCAACAATAATGGCGGCAAAATTGCTGCAGTACAGTGGCTAGATGCTTGTGTGCTGGTGTGAAGGTACAGTGCTGAAATCCATAATGAGGCGCATTTTAAAAATTGTTTCTAACTGAACTTGGCTCTTGGGTCGACCCAGCCTCAAATAGGTACCAGGCAACATTGTAGCAAGTAGGGGGCGCCTGCAGTAACATTACCACATCACCCATCGAGTTTCGACTGGTCTATAAAAAATCTAGGTCTAGCATTATATGCCTGATGTGCCAAAGGTGAAATAGCCAGGTTTTTTCCCTGACAGTACACAATGCTGCTCCGTTCTGCCACCTTATATGGAAACCAGGACATAACATACTTTACATATCCGATTCTTGGCTGTGTCCATATACAGAAACCAAGAAATAACATACTTTACTTATCTGATTCTTGGCTGTATCCATATACAGAAACCAAGAAATAACATACTTTACATATCCGATTCTTAGCTGTATCCATATACAGAGACCAAGAAATAACATACTTTACTTTTCTGATTCTTAGCTGTATCCATATACAGAAACCAAGAAATAACATACTTTACATATCCGATTCTTAGCTGTATCCATATACAGAAACCAAGAAATAACATACTTTACATATCCGATTCTTGGCTGTATCCATATACAGAGACCAAGAAATAACATACTTTACTTTTCTGATTCTTAGCTGTATCCATATACAGAAACCAAGAAATAACATACTTTACATATCCGATTCTTAGCTGTATCCATATACAGAAACCAAGAAATAACATACTTTACATATCCGATTCTTGGCTGTATCCATATACAGAAACCAAGAAATAACATACTTTACATATCTGATTCTTGGCTGTATCCACATACAGAAACCAAGAAATAACATACTTTACATATCTGATTCTTAGCTGTATCCATATACAGAAACCAAGAAATAACATACTTTACATATCCGATTCTTGGCTGTATCCATATACAGAAACCAAGAAATAACATACTTTACATATCCGATTCTTGACAGTATCCATATACAGAAACCAAGAAATAACATACTTTACATATCCGATTCTTAGCTGTATCCATATACAGAAACCAAGAAATAACATACTTTACTTTTCTGATTCTTAGCTGTATCCATATACAGAAACCAAGAAATAACATACTTTACATATCCGATTCTTAGCTGTATCCATATACAGAGACCGAGAAATAACATAATTTACTTTTCTGATTCTTAGCTGTATCCATATACAGAAACCAAGAAATAACATACTTTACATATCCGATTCTTAGCTGTATCCATATACAGAAACCAAGAAATAACATACTTTACTTATCTGATTCTTAGCTGTATCCATATACAGAAACCAAGAAATAACATACTTTACATATCCGATTCTTGACAGTATCCATATACAGAAACCAAGAAATAACATACTTTACATATCCGATTCTTGGCTGTATCCATATACAGAAACCAAGAAATAACATACTTTACATATCCGATTCTTAGCTGTATCCATATACAGAAACCAGGAAATAACATACTTTACATATTCGATTCTTAGCTGTATCCATATACAGAAGCCAAGAAATAAAATACTTTACATATCCGATTCTTTGTATCCATATACAGAAACCAAGAAATAACATACTTTACATATCCGATTCTTGGCTGTATCCATATACAGAAACAAAGAAGTAACACACTTTACACATCCGATTCATGGCTGTATCCATATACAGAAACCAGGAAATAACATACTTTACTTATCTGATTCTTAGCTGTATCCATATATAGAAACCAAGAAATAACATACTTTACATATCCGATTCTTAGCTGTATCCATATACAGAAACCAAGAAATAACATACTTTACATATCCGATTCTTAGCTGTATCCATATACAGAAACCAAGAAATAACATACTTTACATATCCGATTCTTAGCTGTATCCATATACAGAAACCAAGAAATAACATACTTTACTTATCTGATTCTTAGCTGTATCCATATACAGAAACCAAGAAATAACATACTTTACATATCCGATTCTTGGCTGTATCCATATACAGAAACCAAGAAATAACATACTTTACATATCTGATTCTTAGCTGTATCCATATACAGAAACCAAGAAATAACATACTTTACATATCCGATTCTTAGCTGTATCCATATACAGAAACCAAGAAATAACATACTTTACATATCCGATTCTTGGCTGTATCCATATACAGAATCAAAGAAGTAACACACTTTACACATCCGATTCTTGGCTGTATCCATATACAGAAACCAGGAAATAACATACTTTACACATCCGATTCTTGGCTGTATCCATATACAGAAACCAGGAAATAACATACTTTACTTATCTGATTCTTAGCTGTATCCATATACAGAAACCAAGAAATAACATACTTTACATATCCGATTCTTGGCTGTATCCATATACAGAAACCAAGAAATAACATACTTTACATATCTGATTCTTGGCTGTATCCATTATACAGAAACCAGGAAATAACATACTTTACATATCTGATTCTTAGCTGTATCCATATACAGAAACCAGGAAATAACATACTTTACATATCCGATTCTTAGCTGTATCCATATACAGAAACCAGGAAATAACATACTTTACATATCCGATTCTTGGCTGTCTCCATATATAATTAAAGATCCCTTTACACGCCCTTAGGCGCATCGGGCATATGGGAAGAGCACCCATATTTTTATAGACCAATCGGCACTCGGTGGGCAATGTGGTCAGCATTACGCCAGCCGTCTTTACTTTCCCAGGACAGCCCATCCTAGTACCCATTTGAGGCTGGGTCGACCTGCGACATCCCATACCACGATAAAAATCCACGCAGCCCACGCAGGTTTCGATCGCGGTAAGTTGGATTACGAGTCAGACTCGCAACGCCTTGTATCCATATATGGAAACCAGGAAATGAACATATTATAGACATCTGATTTTTGGCTGTCAAAAAAAAAAAGGATCTAAGAAATACATTTAATATATTTGATTCATGGTTGTATCCACATATGGAAACCATGAAATGAACATATCTGAATTATAGCTATATAAAAAAAAAATTAAACTAAGAAATGAACATACTTTGCATATTTGATTCATGGCTGTATCACAGCCTATAGTCACAGAAACACCTGGGATATTGTTTGCAATACTGGCGGGTATGACGTTGATTGGTATGCACAGTTCTGGGTAAACCTTCCTTTTCTGAGACATCTCATATGCACTTTGGAAAGCCTAAAATAGATATCCTTCAATAAAAATGCATTCATATTGGAACATAACCAATTATTCATATGTCAATACATGCATACCGTATTTTTCTGTGTTGAAAATATAATTCTGAATAAGACGTCCTCATTAAAGGACGACTTGTAATTTAACAGAGACAGACAGGATGGATAGGCGTAAAATGTGACAACAGCGAGGCACAGTTCTAAGTGTGGGTAAGGATATCTAAAGATCATCCCCTCACCTCAAATCCCCCAACAATGACCAGGCCTGATATGTTATATCCCCTCACCTCAAAACCCCCATCAATGACCAGATCTGATATATCCCCTCACCTCAAATCCCCCAACAATGATCAGGTCTGATATGTTATATCCCCTCACCTCAAAACCCCCATCAATTACCAGATCTGATATATCCCCTCACCTCAAAACCCCCAACAATGACCAGATCTGATATATCCCCTCAACTCAAATCCCCCAACAATGACCAGGCCTGATATATCCCCTCAACTCAAATCCCCCAACAATGACCAGGCCTGATATATCCCCTCACCTCAAATCCACCAACAATGACCAGGCCTGATATGTTATTTCCCCTCACCTCAAATCCACCAACAATGACCAGGCCTGATATATCCCCTCAACAATGACCAGGCCTGATATATCCCCTCACCTCAAATCCACCAACAATGACCAGGCCTGATATATCACCTCACCTCAAATCCCCCAACAATGACCAGGCCTGATATGTTATGCTCATCAAGTTTTCTTGCTATCTGCAGGATACCCACTTCACTAGCTGTCTCCCTGCATCAGAAAACACAAGATAACAGTCAATTCACACCAACAGTTCAAATATATATATGAAATATGCTTTTTTTTTTTGAGGGGGGGGGGGGGGGGTGGCTTTTTTTGGGGGGGGGGCAGGGGGAGGGGGGTTGTCTTCTTTGTTAACCAGTTGTAGGCTCTAGCAGAAAGTCCTGGCTTTGTGCCAGGGCCTGAGTTTTGCATGTACATCCCTTTTACTGGCTTATTTTCCCTGGAAATCGGAGTACATCTGCCAGTGAGGCAGCGAAAAGCAAACAAAAAAGCTAGTAAAATTAATGTACACGCAAAACTCAGGTCCAGGTAAAAGCCAAAAGTCCAAATAGACGAACTACCGGGACGTTTCGCTGAATCAAGAGATGTTTAACAGAATCAAGAGGTATGAAACAGAATCAAGAGGTGTGAAACAGAATCAAGAGGTATGAAACAGAATCAAGAGGTGTGAAACAGAATCAAGAGATGATTAACAGAATCAAGAGGTATGAAACAGAATCAAGAGACGTCAAACAGAATCAAGAGGTTTGAAACAGAATCAAGAGATATGAAACAGAATTAAGAGGTGTGAAACAGAATCAAGAGATATGAAACAGAATCAAGAGGTATGTAACAGAATCAAGAGATGTATGAAACAGAATCAAGAGGTGTGGAACAGAATCAAGAGGTGTGAAACAGAATCAAGAGGTGTGAAACAGAATCAAGAGGTATGAAACAGAATCAAGAGGTGTGAAACAGAATCAAGAGATGTGAAACAGAATCAAGAGATGTGAAACAGAATCAAGGGGTATGAAACAGAATCAAGAGATATGAAACAGAATCAAGAGGTATGAAACAGAATCAAGAGATGTTTAACAGAATCAAGAGGTATGAAACAGAATCAAGAGGTGTGAAACAGAATCAAGATGTGTGAAACAGAATCAAGAGGTATGAAACAGAATCAAGAGGTGTGAAACAGAATCAAGAGATGTGAAACATAATCAAGAGATGTGAAACAGAATCAAGAGATGTGAAACAGAATCAAGAGGTATGAAACAGAATCAAGAGGTGTGAAACAGAATCAAGAGATGTGAAACAGAATCAAGAGGTGTGAAACAGAATTAAGAGGTGTGAAACAGAATCAAGAGGTATAAAACAGAATCAAGAGGTGTGAAACAGAATCAAGAGGTGTGAAACAGAATCAAGAGGTATGAAACAGAATCAAGAGGTGTGAAACAGAATCAAGAGTTGTGAAACAGAATCAAGAGATGTGAAACAGAATCAAGAGATGTTAAACAGAATCAAGAGGTATGAAACAGAATCAAGAGATATGAAACAGAATCAAGAAATGTGAAACAGAATCAAGAGGTGTGAAACAGAATCAAGAGGTGTGAAACAAAATCAAGAGGTGTGAAACAGAATCAAGAGGTGTGAACAAGTATCATGTGATCCAAAACAGAATCAAGATAAAAGAAACACAATGTTATTGAACTGAATCAAGAGATGTGAAACAGTACAAAGAGATTCAGAATCAAATAGTAGCCAAGCTTTCTAACTAAACTGTTATTGTGGAAGCAAAGAAATTGTTATTAGGATGAATGACACACTGCACTTACCAAGAAGTTCCGATGAGTGAACCTCCTGCACTTGTCCAATGATGAACATCATTCCACTCAACATGTCTGACCTAACAATATATCAACACTGAACATCATTCCACTCAACATGTCTGACCTAACAATAAATCAACACTGAACATCATTCCACTCAACATGTCTGACCTAACAATATATCAACACTGAACATCATTTCACTCAACATGTCTGACCTAACAATATATAAACACTGAACATCATTCCACTCAACATGTTTGACTCAACAATACTTCAGTTGCACTAAACATGCTGAAGTCTGCTAAAAGTATTTTGGGTGTGTGCGTGTGGGTGCGTGCATGCGTGCGTGCATGCCTGTGCTCATACATTTACCATGCTTTTGTGTTTTTTCCTTGTTTATATTGTGTTATGAACATCACATGCTTTATTGAAAAATACAATTTATGTGTGAAAGAGGGTGTTAGGAAGGGCAGAATGTTAAATAGGCCTGCAGGCCCAATTTAAAACCCTTTAAAAAATAAAGTTCACTCGTTCTTTCAACGTGTCTGACAAAACAATATATCAAAATATCAATTAATTACAATCAACAAGAATTACTTTTCGTTTGTTCTTCTTTGTGTCTACCGTCGGAAACTCCTACAGAAAGTTCTGGTTGTTCGTCCACCTCTGGACTTTAATTTTATTCCAGAGCCTTAGAGCTGCATGCACATTCATTTTACACATCTCACTGGTCTGTATGAAGAATGTTGGTTCCTTGCCTCTAAGGCAGATGCACTCTGACTTTGAAGCAAGCCACCAATTAGTGGACGCCTATGAAATGCTTGGGGGAGAGACAGCGGGTCTATTCTTGTTTTCCCCCACAATGGGGTCCTGAAAACCACAGGGGAAAAACATGAATTAAAAAACAGAATACAACAGATAGGGTGAAAATACAAGTTTAAAAAAAAACATACACACATGTACATGCATGGGCACACACATATACACACTTACACAGACACAAAATAACACAAAAATGCACTGAAACAATATCCAGTGTTTTAAAAGACAAAATACTTTCAGCTGACCTAACAGCAATAGAGACAAAATACTTTCAGCAGACCTAACAGCAATAGAGACAAAATACTTTCAGCAGACCTAACAGCAATAGAGACAAAATACTTTCATCACACCTAACAGCAATAGAGACAAAATACTTTCATCAGACCTAACAGCAATAGAGACAAAATACTTTCATCAGACCTAACAGCAATAGAGACAAAATACTTTCATCAGACCTAACAGCAATAGAGACAAAATACTTTCAACAGACCTAACAGCAATAGAGACAAAATACTTTCAACAGACCCTGCTGTAGTACCTTGTTTTTGCAGAGGCCCTTCCAGCTGTCATATATAAACACAGGCTCATATCCCTTGCTGACACACACACCCACAAATCCTCTGGCGGCAGCATTCATTCCTCCCGCTGGATGTCCAACATGTACCATCGCAATTCGATACATCCTCTGTAAGTTTAGAATGATATACATCAGAATGATTAGTATTACTGCTGAAAGAGATTTAACTCTTCGAGTCCCTTGGGCTGTGATGCTAAACCCCCTGGAACTCAAAGAGTTAAGAGGCTTTGACGCTTTTTCTGCTGACTCAAGGTCAGGGGTTGAAATCTGCAGCATGGCAGATTTTATTTACAGAACTGAGCTTCTCTCCCAGTTGGATAATTTATAAAACTGTCATTTATGCAAATTGTGATGTATAAACATTTTGATGTATACAAATAGTGACTTTTATAACTTGTAATTTATCAAACTGATTTTCCACGTGTGGGTTCTGCGGCCCCACTGTGCAGGGAAAAGGAACATACCCAATGCTCTCCTAAGAAGTGTGTCTTAAAAGGTGATTAATGAGGGGTGTTTCACTGGAAGCCGGCCTGTATCTGCCTGAAAGGCAATAACTAAGTGCACAGAATAAGCCCTATCTGTAAAATGGATCAGCATGCAAAACGTCTGGAGCAATCACTCAAGTCTATAAGTGGAAGAACAACCAGAACGTTCTGTCAGAATTTACAGCAGGTGAACATAAAGAAAAAGAAAGAAAAACTAATTTATGCAAACTGTGATTTATGCACACTGTGATTTATACAACCTGTGATCTAAACAGACTTTGATTTTTATTTGTTGTTTGTACAGTGCAGACTGCCAAAGGCGATCTTGTATGTGGCGAATTTCTATTGTGAAGAACAATTTGCTGATCCACAGTAATTTTTCTTGTTTCAAGTTGAGTTCTCCTTATCATCATCTGTCATCATCATCATCCCGTACACTGCGTGTCATTGGGTCACCAGTTTCTGACTGACTGATCAGCTCTCTGCACTTTTGGCGGTCAGTTGCGAAGGACTTCATGGTTGCATGCCTGAGGCCTGTCCAGTCAGTCAGGTTCTGTAACCCGGTCTTTCTTGGTCTGCCTATTTCCCTCTACTGAGCCCTGCAGTATTGCTGAGGCTGTTAGATCTTATCACGTCCATACCATTATATTTTTCGCCTTTTCACTGTAGTTAAAAGAGGCTCATACTTGCCAATGTGCTGTATAATTTTATGGTGAACCTCTTCATTTGTAATGTGTTCTCTGTATGATATGCCAAAAATGTCACTGAAACATCACATTTCTAATGCTTGTATCTTTCTTTCAAGTTCAGCTGTTAAGGTCCACGTTTCACAGCCGTATGTAATTGTACTAATAGCTAGTGCTCCGAGCAATCGAATCTTAGTTTTACATGAAATGTTTTTGTATCTCCCTTATGTCTGTGGCAAACACTGATGTTGTCTGGGCAATCCTAGACATGATTTCTTGTCGTGACCCTAAGTCACTTAAAATGGATCCTAAATATTTGAAATGATTCACTTGTTCTAATTTGTGACCTTTAATGTAGATTGCCAGCTGGATTATTAGTCATTACTTTTGTTTTTTCTGCATTTATTTCCATGCCACTCTTGGTTGATGTTTCATCGAGTAGATTTACAAGTATGACTAGTTCTTGTTCTCCGGCCAACCCATGGATACCATCTGCAAACCTTAAGTTTGTTATAGTTTGACCTCCATAACTAACTGTTCCAGGATGCTGTTCTAGTGCATCAGTCATAATTCTTTCTAAAAAGAAGTTAAACAGTGTTGGAGAAAGGAGGCAGCCTTGCCAGACTCCTACTGTTGTTCGGAACCAGCTTCCTATTTGTCCGCTTAGAATGACTAACTGTGATCTATGCAAAATGTGATTATTTTTTATTTTTAAACAAAGAAGAAAAGCTAATCACTCACACACTTCTTGCCTAGAGATGTCGGCCGGGACAACACTTGATGCTGCATCAAGTACAGGTACAGGTTTTGATATATAACTCTGCAAAATAATATCCATTATCATCGCTGCAAGCAAACAGACCTACAGCAAAAATTTGTTAACACATATTCACTATACTCTCTCAATCAGTCCCATTTCATAAGTAAAGCTTTAAAAAAAAGTAAAGGACCCTTTTCCACGCCTTTAAAGCACATAGGGCTCGACCTATATGTATTATAGACCAATCGGCACAAGATGGGTGATGTGGTCAGCATCACACCGGCCACCTTTACTTCCCGGGACTGCACCCAGTACCCACTCAAGCCTAATTGGGCCACAATAACAGTTATCAAATCATGGGTACACTACATTCACAGGAGCTAGACACACAACCCTTGTAGGAGTCTCGTGTGTTGTTGGGATTTCTACCGTGCTCTATGTAAACACACAACCCTTGTAGGAGTCTCGTGTGTTGTTGGGTGTTCTACCGTGCTCTATGTAAACACACAACCCTTGTAGGAGTCTCGTGTGTTGTTGGGTGTTCTACCGTGCTCTATGTAAACACACAACCCTTGTAGAAGTCTCGTGTGTTGTTGGGTGTTCTACCGTGCTCTATGTAAACACACAACCCTTGTAGGAGTCTCGTGTGTTGTTGGGTGTTCTACCGTGCTCTATGTAAACACACAACCCTTGTAGGAGTCTCGTGTGTTGTTGGGTGTTCTACCGTGCTCTGTGTAAACACACAACCCTTGTAGGAGTCTCGTGTGTTGTTGGGTGTTCTACCGTGCTCTGTGTAAACACACAACCCTTGTAGGAGTCTCGTGTGTTGTTGGGTGTTCTACCGTGCTCTGTGTAAACACACAACCCTTGTAGGAGTCTCGTGTGTTGTTGGGTGTTCTACCGTGCTCTATGTAAACACACAACCCTTGTAGGAGTCCTTGTAGGAGTTTCGTGTGTTGTTGGGTGTTCTACCGTGCTCTGTGTTAACACACAACCCTTGTAGGAGTCTCGTGTGTTGTTTTGTGTTCTACCGTGCTCTGTGTAAACACACAACCGTTGTAGGAGTCTCGTGTGTTATTGGGTGTTTTACCGTGCTCTGTGTAAACACACAACCCTTGTAGGAGTCTCGTGTGTTGTTGGGTGTTCTACCGTGCTTTATGTAAACACACAACCCTTGTAGGAGTCTCATGTGTTGTTGGGTGTTCTACCGTGCTCTATGTAAACACACAACCCTTGTAGGAGTCTTGTGTGTTGTTGGGTGTTCTACCGTGCTCTATGTAAACACACAACCCTTGTAGGAGTCTCGTGTGTTGTTGGGTGTTCTACAGTGCTCTATGTAAACACAAAACGTATGAGCATAATAATATTGTGACTAGTGCAAATGAGTAAATCCAGTCACACATCGTGCGTTATTTTGCGCTGAAAAAGTTACGAGGAACCCTCGGTTAACATGAATAAAATTTTGGTCCTAAGAGAGATGTATCATTGTTATTAGTCCCAGTTTAGCGTGATTTTGTTTTCTAAACATGAACTCGGCTTTCGGTCCTGTAGGATTCGTGTAAATGAGGTTTTACTGTAATAACAATGAGCAAGTCATGTATTTATGAAGTGAGTGAATGCTTTCAGTACCATGTAACACACCACACATTCATTAGTTAATTCAGAGTTTTCATTAGTTAATTAAAAGTTCTTCATTAGTTAAAAGTTTTTTTATGGTACTTAATAGCTTTTCATTAGTTAATTTACACATTTTCAGGAGCTAATTCAGTTCCCCCCCCCCCCCCCCCCCCCAACCCCTCATAGTTAAATCAGTTTTCTCAGGAGTTAATTCGTTGTTTAGAGCACCCGGCCAGGGTGGGGTTTCAAAATAACTAAAAATTGCATCCCACAAAGGGATGTTGAGTTGATAATTATAATTTTAAAAAAAAACGCCAATCTAAATCCAGAAATAGCCACCCACCCTGGCAGCCAAGTTAAGGCCTCAACTATAGCCCAAGCCCGTGGAAGGCAGTTGAATAAGACTGCCATTTTCTATTTTTTCTATCACAAACCAAGCCCAGTCACGTGCCCTATGTGCCACTGAAGGTAAAGTAGATCTTTGTGTTACATTTCTGTTTGTTTATTGTAGAGTGATAGTTCTGGGAAGTGAGGGAATAAATTTTCCCTGTGCAACCATATGAACCAATATAAAATAATCATAGATAATATGATGCATAATGAATACTGTGATGATCTTACGGGCCTCGTAACTTCACAACTTCATCAAAATTTCTATCCTCCAGCATCTCTCCAACTTTCTTGGTCTGTAAGTTTTCAAAACAGAAAACAAATTTTAATTAATCTTGTATTTCACACAACATCACTGCTTACAGCAAACATGGCCAGTTTTAACAAATAAACATGTCTAAAAGTATCAGTTTGTTTTTTAATTTTAAATTATTATTTGTATGTAAATAATATAGGATTAAAAGAAGCCAACAACATTGAACTGGATTCCTACCATAATATCAAAAAGATTACACAGGACAGACCGGAATAGAGAAACAGATTATGTGCTCTGAGTGATGTACTTAGACGAGCAATACCTCCTGTGGTGTGGTATCTCGCAGTTCAGTCATTCTCTGTTGAGGTACACCATAATTTAAAATACTCTTCTTCTCCTTCTTCCTCTTCTATACTCCAATATCTGCACATTTTGGCCCAACAAATTGGTTTCAGCAGCCCTTCATTAGTCATCTTTTACAACATGTCTGTTAGGAGAGGTAGGTCTAGCCTTTGTTCCACCAAAAAGAGGCCTGGGAAACAACGTGGAAATGTAAAATCTTTTACAACATGTCTGTTAGGAGAGGTAGGTCTAGCCTTTGTTCCACCAAAAAGAGGCCTGGGAAACAACGTGGAAATGTAAAATCTTTTACAACATGTCTGTTAGGAGAGGTAGGTCTAGCCTTTGTTCCACCCAAAAGAGGCCTGGGAAACAACGTGGAAATGTAAAATCTTTTACAACATGTCTGTTAGGAGAGGTAGGTCTAGCCTTTGTTCCACCCAAAAGAGGCCTGGGAAACAACGTGGAAATGTAAAATCTTTACAACATGTCTGTTAGGAGAGGTAGGTCTAGCCTTTGTTCCACCCAAAAGAGGCCTGGGAAACAACGTGGAAATGTAAAATCTTTTACAACATGTCTGTTAGGAGAGGTAGGTCTAGCCTTTGTTCCACCCAAAAGAGGCCTGGGAAACAACGTGGAAATGTAAAATATTCAGCATCATTTACAAATTCCGTACCAAGCAAGTGACTGTGAGTTTATGGGTTTTCACTGACATGATTCCCATTGTGTCCCATACTGTTGTTACATTAAACCACTCAACTCCACTTACTACCTTAACTCTTTCAGTCTCAAGATTTTCTTCTTCTTCTTTAGTGCTCACTCTTAAAAGAGTTGTTGGCATGTTCTGTAGTGTTTTACAGCTTTTTTTTTTTTGAAATTCTGTTTTTGCAAAATCAACACCTGCTGAATACTTCTTTCCTACAAGCTATAACAGTATTAAAAAACACTTATCATCATATTCAAAATGTACATACATTTCTCTTTAAAAAATATATACTTTTGTAGGGAGTAGAAGTATATTACATTCTCTATTGCCTTGTTTGTACACCACCCCCTCTGCCATTTTTGTAAAGGGAAATTATTGTGGGCCAAGTCTGTCAAGATTCATGGGCCTGACAAATTTAGGAAACTGAGCTCTAAAAATGTCACATAAAATTTTTTTTTTATTTTTTTTTAAAACCCCTCAGATATATTTTCTTTAATTTCCTAACCTGCAAGTTTAGGTACAAGACTAACGTCCAGAAGTAGACACACAACCAGAACTTCCTGTCAGAGCTTACAACCGTTGTACCCGAAGAAAAAAAAGAACTGACAAGATCAACTTGAGATTCAAAACAATAAATAGGAGAATACATCTCCTTCTTCAGCATTCTGAACACTTGAGATTTTTAGCTGTAGATATCAACTGTCTCCATTTAATCTATGTGACTGGCCTTCTCTTTCCAGCTGGTAACTTTTAGTATTTGTATGTATGTCTGTATCTCTTCACTCCCTTCTTGGTCTACCTAATGGTTTGCTCTCAATCAAATTTAGTGAATGCATTTTTTGCCTCCCTGTTGTCTGCCCTTCTCTATATGTGTCCCAACAATTGCAGTAGAACATATGGCCTCAGAAAATGTGAAAAAAGTTTACTATACTTGTTCTACAGAAAGTGAATCAAGTAATTCATTAAAACTTCACCCAACTAATTTTGCATCAAGTGAGTTAAGTAATCAAACTCAAGTTCACCCTATGTGTTCTACAGTAAGTGAATCAAATAACCCAACAAAAGTTCACCCTATGTTTTCTATACAGTAAGTGAATCAAATAATCCAACTAAAGTTCACCCTATGTGTTCTATACAGTAAGTGAATCAAATAATCCAACTTTTTATGTTCACCCTATGTGTTCTATATAGTAAGTGAATCAAATAATCCAACTAAAGTTCACCCTACCTGTTCTACAGCTTTCATCAATGGTGTTCTGACAATTTCATATCCATCTAAGCTGATAACATACGCTGGCGTATCGGGAGATGACTCCATCAGTGCTACGACCGCCTCAGCTCCCATTCTTGTGCCCTGTAAATGATGATGATGATGGCAGATAAAATTGTCAACCTTTACTGTGGGTTACTTATAAATTTGGAAGCTGCCATGGAAGCTGAAGGGACCACAGACTGTGTCAATTATTTCATAAGGGATAATGATAGGCTTTCTGTGTGGTTTTCATTAGCACAGGAACGCAGCAACTATGGGGTGACTCGTTTGCCATGAGGTTGTAACTGCGATTACTTGATGACTTAGAAGAGCTGCTGGGGTAACAAGAAGAGATACAATCTGAGCAGCTGGGGTAACAAGAAGAGAAACAATCTGAGCTGCTGGGGTAACAAGAAGAGATACAATCTGAGCTGCTGGGGTAACAAGAAGAGATACAATCTGAGCTGCTGGGGTAACAAGAAGAGATACAATCTGAGCAGCTGGGGTAACAAGAAGAGATACAATCTGAGCTGCTGGGGTAACAAGAAGAGATACAATCTGAGCTGCTGGGGTCACAAGAAGAGATACAATCTGAGCTGCTGGGGTAACAAGAAGAGATACAATCTGAGCTGCTGGGGTAACAAGAAGAGATACAATCTGAGCTGCTAGGGTAACAAGAAGAGATACAGTATGAGCTGCTGGGGTAACAAGAAGAGATACAATCTTAAATGAAGAAATCAGAAGAAGACTGTGACTGAAATCAGTCAGTCATCATCAAGTGCCTTGCTGACTGGTGTGGGCGATCATGCCTCTCCACAATCTGCAACTGCCTGTATCAGTTCGTGTGTTGACACCCCTCCATGCCTGGACAAAAGAATGTCATACAGCAATAAATGAGATGGTTTGGTCATATGATAAGAATGACATTGTAACAACTGCCATCGAGAGCCAATCTGAAGCATTACGAGCATAGGGGAAGATCATGCAAAAAAATGGAATGACGTCATCAAGAACAGCCTTACAGAAATTAACTAAGTAAGGCATTAGAAAGAGCATACATTTTCCCCAACACTTCAGTAAGGATAACTGGAGAAGGAGGAGGAAGAAGAAGACCAGTGAATTAACTCTTCATGTCCTATGAAAGGCCCTACAGGTGATGAGCTATTCTTCATGTTTATCAGCCTGTGTAACTTATCTGATTATATTTCTTATGTAGCATAGATCTGTCTTTGTCAACCGAAGGGAGAAATAGAGTTTGTAAGAGCTATATAATGCTAATCCTGATAAGTGGAACGAATCACTGACAATCAGCCAGGTAGTGAAAAATTATGTGAAAACTGTGAGAAGTGCTTTAACAGAAGAATTATATCACAGGCAGAAAAAAGTGTAATTTTAAATAATGCGGACAAAAACAAGACATTGCATAATTTATTGCCTGGTATATTTTGCTGTATCTCATCAGGTGCATCACTAGAGAGTTACATCAACTACAATGAAACAACAACAACAACAAAAACAAATCTTTTTTCTATCTAGTCACTTTACTGTTGGTTGCAGGAGGTGACACTTTAGATAGACGTGGTTGAAATGATTCATTTTTGTGTGTCATTATATGTTGTTTCAACTCTGTAGTAACGCACCTGACGAGATAGCGAAATATGCCCAGCAGTAAATTGTGAAATTTATTGTTTGTGTCCGCATTATTTACACTGACAACAGGAAAACATTGTTTGAAAAAAAAAATGTAAAGTAGATTCCTTGACAAAACAAATACAAAATTTTTTTGGTGTGTGTCCCTCCTCCTTTTTTTTTTTTTCTCTTCCCCCGCCCCACCCCATCTCTGCCTCTCTCACCAATGTGGGTATGTTAACAGTAGACCATTCATTTGTCAATAAGTGATGAATGAAAATCAACACTATGATAAAAACCCCAAGCCTGACAAAACATGGAATAATATGACAACATACATACCAATAGTCTATCAAAGGCAGAAGTATTTCCTCCTCGCTGCACATGACCCAGCACTGTAACACGTACATCCATCTTCATACGTTCAGAGAGGACCTACAAGTCAAAGTAGCCAGATTTACTTACATTTGTATGCAAACCTAGCTTGGCTTTAGAAGAAAAAAAAATTTTTAAACTATCTGAGAAGAAAGGACAGGACATACTATTGATTATGCTTGTGCTTTAGTTTCTAGTTTTGGCACAGTATAACTGGACAAACAGTCAGCCACTGCAAGTTCTTTAGTTCTAGTTTTGGCCCAGCACAGCTGGACACTAAGAAAAAGTCAGCCACTGGTAGTTCTCTAGTTCTAGTTTTGGCCCAGCACAACTGGACACTAAGAAACAGTCAGCCACTGGTAGTTCTCTAGTTCTAGTTTTGGCCCAGCACAGCTGGACACTAAGAAACAGTCAGCCACTGGTAGTTCTCTAGTTCTAGTTTTGGCCCAGCACAACTGGACACTAAGAAACAGTCAGCCACTGGTAGTTCTCTAGTTCTAGTTTTAGCCCAGCACAACTGGACACTAAGAAACAGTCAGCCACTGGTAGTTCTCTAGTTCTAGTTTTAGCCCAGCACAGCTGGACACTAAGAAACAGTCAGCCACTGGTAGTTCTCTAGTTCTAGTTTTAGCCCAGCACAACTGGACACTAAGAAACAGTCAGCCACTGGTAGTTCTCTAGTTCTAGTTTTAGCCCAGCACAGCTGGACACTAAGAAACAGTCAGCCACTGGTAGTTCTCTAGTTCTAGTTTTAGCCCAGCACAGCTGGACACTAAGAAACAGTCAGCCACTGGTAGTTCTCTAGTTCTAGTTTTAGCCCAGCACAGCTGGACACTAAGAAACAGTCAGCCACTGGTAGTTCTCTAGTTCTAGTTTTAGCCCAGCACAACTGGACAGTCAGCCACTGCTAGTTCTCTAGTTCTAGTTTTGGCCCAGCATAACTGGACAAACAGTCACCCACTGCTAGTTCTCAAGTTCTAGTGTTGGCCCAGCACAACTGGACACTAAGAAGCAGTCAGCCACTGGTAGTTCTCTAGTTCTAGTTTTAGTTCTTCTAATCCCCTGTGTGGGTTCCGGGGCCCCATTGTGGGGAATAAAGAACAGTCCCACTGCGACCCCTAACAAATATGCCATAAAAGTCACAAAATTAAGAGTATTTTCTTTGAAGTCAGAGTGCATTTGTCTGAGAGGCAAGAAACCAACAGTCTGCACACAAACAAACCAAATATGTCACAGTGATCAAAATTCAAAATTCAGGTACTGCAAAAAAGACGAAAGTCCAAAAGTGGACAAACAACCAGAACTTTCTGCCAGAGTTTACTGCTGGTGAACACAAAAAAGAAAAAAAAAAGAGTTCTTATTTTATCCAAGTCAAATTTGACACCATGAAACTATCAGGCCACACTAGTTCTCTAACTTCTAGTTTAGTCCAGCCCAACTGGAGACTATAAAAACGTTAGGCCCCCTTTAAGGTTCCGGTGCCCCATTTTGGGGATAAAATAACAGACCCGCTGCCCACTAACAAGCATGTCCTAAAAGGCAACTAGTTAAGATTTTGCTGGCTTTGATATGTTTATTTGAAAAGTGCAGATATCACAGCCTAGCTGTAAGCTGCAACAAAATATGTCAACTGCCCTTTTAATGTCAAACACAGAAGAAGAACAGAAAAGCTGAAGCCTAACTAGTTCAATCTTGCACATATTTGCTGACATTACCTTCTGGACATCGTTACACTTAATAGGATTTCCACTGTGATCAATGGCTCCCTCAGCAACCAGGATAATGTGTGTCCTGCGAACTTCTCCAGCTTTGGATTTCTGGAAACGATATGTGAGATTGTTATCGGTCTTATTCTAACAAAAGAGAGAGAACAAAATATGATTATATATCAGGTACTACTGTAATAGTCGCCGTCTGTGGTTTAAGCATTGCCAGGTTTAATCAACACTGCGGATATTTACTGTCTTGCATTGGTTTCGACAGTGGTATCAAGAGCCAACTGTTCAGAAAGCAGTGACAAAATACCGAATGTAATATTTGGGTAGAAAAACCATAACAGCCAAAAATAAATGCTGGGGTTGGTTCTGCAGTGTCCTGTAAAGGAACACAACTGTCTTCCCAGTGCAGGTACTGCAGCGTCCTGTAAAGGAACACAACTGTCATCCCCATGCAGGTTCTGCAGTGTCCTGTAAAGGAACACAACTGTCTTCCCAGTGCAGGTTCTGCAGCATCCTGTAAAGGAACACAACTGTCTTCCCAGTGCAGGTTCTGCAGCATCCTGTAAAGGAACACAACTGTCATCCCCATGCAGGTTCTGCAGCATCCTGTAAAGGAACACAACTGTCTTCCCAGTGCAGGTTCTGCAGCATCCTGTAAATTAACACAACTGTCTTCCCCATGCAGGTTCTGCAGCATCCTGTAAAGGAACACAACTGTCTTCCCAGTGCAGGTTCTGCAGCATCCTGTAAAGGAACACAACTGTCATCTCAGAGTAGGTTCTGCAGCGTCCTGTAAAGGAACGCAACTGTCTTCCCCGTGCGGGTTCTAAGGCACCCATTTTTGGTAAGGGAAGGGGGAAGGGGAAGATACTCACAGTTTACCTTAGCATAGAAGATGACTAATCAAGGTTCTGCTGAAACTGTTAGTCTCCCTTTGTGGGTTCCAGGGCCTCATTTTGAGGGGTGAAAGAACAGACCCGCTGCCCAAAAACAAGCATGTCCTAAAAGGCAACTAGTTAAGACTCTGCTGACTTGGATGTATTGGGCTGACAAGTGCAGATATATCAGCCTAACAGTAGACACAAGACTCCAACTGCCCTTTTGAGAGCAAATTCATATGAGGAAGAGGAAGGAGGAGGAGAAGAAGAAGAAGAAGAAGAAGAAGGAGGAGGTAGAAGACGAGAAGAATGTACTATCATAGAGAGTGTGAAGTGAAAAGAATTGACATATACTAGATCATGACATTAGGAGATGAGGTGACTAGATTTTATCACAACCATCTTTCTTTTCCAGAGAAATCGCTGGTACACACCTTTTGTATATGGGTTGTCCCTAAAGCTGCATGTGGTTGGCAAAATGAGCAGCTCCTGGGTCATGTATGTTCAGAAATAAAATTGCCAGGTACTGGCTCCTGAGATAGACATGCACTGAAGTTAAAATAGCCTGGTACTGGCACATGGGATAGATATGTTCAGAAATTAAATTTGCCTAGTACTGGCTCCCAGAACATGTATGTTCAGAAATTAAAATTGCCTGGTATTGGCTCTCAAGACAGACATTTGCTGAAGTTAAAATTACCTGGTACTGTCTCTTGAGATAGACATTCACTGAAGTTAAAATTGCCTGGTACCAGCTCTCGGGACAGGTATGTTCAGAAATTAAAATTGCCTGGTAATCTCCTAAGATAAGCATCTGCTGAAGTTAAAATTGAATGGTACTGAATCCCAAGATAGACATGTGCTGAAGTTAAACCTGTCTTGTACTGGCTCCCAAGATAGCTATGAGCTAAAGTTAAACCTGCCTGCCACTGGCTCCCAAGATAGCTATGTGCTGAAGTTAAACCTGCCTGCCAATGGCTCCCAAGACAGCTATGTGCTGAAGTTAAACCTGCCTGCTACTGGCTCCCAAAATAGGTATGTGCTGAAGTTAAACCTGCCTGCCACTGGCTCCCAAGATAGCTATGTGCTGAAGTTAAACCTGCCTGCCACTGGCTCCCAAGATAGCTATGTGCTGAAGTTAAACCTGCCTGCCACTGGCTCCCAAGATAGCTATGTGCTGAGGTTAAACCTGCCTGCCACTGGCTCACAAGATAGGTATATGCTGAAGTTAAACCTGCCTGCCACTGGCTCCCAAGATAGCTATGTGCTGAAGTTAAACCTGCCTGCCACTGGCTCCCAAGATAGCTATGTGCTGACGTTAAACCTCCCTGCCACTGGCTCCCAAGATAGCTATGTGCTGAAGTTAAACTTGCCTGCCACTGGCTTCCAAGATAGGTATGTGCTGAAGTTAAACCTGCCTGCCACTGGCTCCCAAGATAGCTATGTGCTGAAGTTAAACCTGCCTGCCACTGGCTCCCAAGGTATGTATGTGCTGAAGTTAAACCTGCCTGCCACTGGCTCCCAAGATAGCTATGTGCTGAAGTTAAACCTTCCTGCCACTGGCTCCCAAGATAGCTATGTGCTGAAGTTAAACCTGCCTGCCACTGGCTCACAAGACAGTTTTGTGCTGAAGTTAAACCTGCCTGCCACTGTCTTCCAAGATAGCTATGTGCTGAAGTTAAACCTGCCTGCCACTGGCTCCCAAGATAGCTATGTGCTGAAGTTAAACCTGCCTGCCACTGGCTCCCAAGATAGTTAAGTGCTGAAGTTAAACTTGCCTGCCACTGGCTCCCAAGATAGCTATGTGCTGAAGTTAAACCTGCCTGCCACTGGCTCCCAAGATAGCTATGTGCTGAAGTTAAACCTGCCTGCCACTGGCTCCCAAGATAGTTAAGTGCTGAAGTTAAACCTGCCTGCCACTGGCTTCCAAGATAGCTATGTGCTGAAGTTAAACCTGCCTGCCACTGGCTCCCAAGATAGCTATGTGCTGAAGTTAAACCTGCCTGCCACTGGCTCCCAAGATAGTTAAGTGCTGAAGTTAAACCTGCCTGCCACTGGCTCCCAAGATAGCTATGTGCTGAAGTTAACATTGCCTGAAAATGAAAGAGCTGACACACACAAACAATACCTCAATAAGCTGGTCACACAGGTTCTGCCTCCAGTCTCCTTGTGGCGGGTCCTCTGGTATAAATATTGCTGTGGCTTCACTAGATATGCCTGCTAGCAGGGGCAGGTAACTGTAAGAAGAACAGCAGCAGATAAACAGGCAATGTCTAACAACAATAGTATTTGGTTTAGGAGGGGTGGCAGGCACCGGAACCTAGGGGTTAAGGTCACTTGAGGCCCCCCCCCCCCAAGAGCACTGCAAAAGCACACCATTTGCTTAACTCTTTTAGTCCCCGGGAACGCATCACGGGGTAATTTGTTACAACCGCCCGGCCCAATCGACTCGTGACAAGTGAAGGTTTTTAATTTACCGCTGCCCGGTCATAAAACATGGACTGCTCAATTTCAACTTCCTTTCGAGTTCTTTGTGTCTGATATCAGGCGTGCTCATTAAAAAACGTGGTTTGAAAGCCGAAAATATAGCATTTTTGCAAGGTTTACCAAATTACTAAGTGTTTGTTTAAAAAGAATATAGCCACCAAGCATGCTAGCATGAATTATGGCTTTAGAAGCCTCAAATTTAAATAATGTACGTGTTTATTAGATTTATCCAAAGTTAGATAGATAATGTTGTGAATTAGACATGTTTCAGTCATTTATAGAGTCAAACTTTGATTAGGGATATGTCTAATGTGTACCTCACGCGAAGGTACAACGATAGCAAAGTCAGCTGACACAAACAGAATAAACATTAGTGACAAGACATTTTTTTTTCAGTGTCAGTTAATTCTAGTTCTATTCCCCTTATTATTTAGGAACAAAGCTACAAAATTACAGGCAAATTGAGTGTTATATAAATTTTGTTTTGTGTGAAAATACTTATTGTTTTGGAGGTCAGTTTTCTTTACCAAATAATGGTGCTGTTATGATGCTTCAGAAGATTCTTTGGAACAAAATTTAACGTATAGACTAAGTTTATATTTTACTTACACATTACTAAGTGGTTTATATTAATTTGTTTTCCTTGAGTGCCGTGGTGGTAAGTGGAATTTTTTATATTTCATTTTACTATTTTTTTACTGTTTATGTAGGAATATTTAATTACTAACGCAATTATTTGTTGTAGCTGTATTCTATAATTATTCCTCAACAATCCCTGGTCACTTTGATGTATAATATGTGTATGTTGCACAGCAATTAAATTAGTATGGTCTGTTTTAATGTGTTACACTTGTGAAATTAAAAAACTGCATTACCACCCCTTGGGTCTTTGATGCTAAACCCTCTGGGACTCAAAGAGTTAATAAGTAATACTCACGGGACAGTCAGTTCCAAAATATGTAAAGATCTTATACTACTACCAGCTGTGGGAATGCTCAGTTTTCAGTAAGGCGAAACTTTATTCACAAAATAGTATCCCAAAAGGCTCCTATTTACTTACGGCCATTGTTTAAATATAAAGAAAAGCAGCAAATGCTAAACATAATACATATTCTTAAACCTAGGATAGACCTATACAAAACAAGCTTAGCGTACTCTGCGGCTCAGTTGTGGAACCATCTGTCACAACAAATTAAAAATTCTGCTAGTCCCTATGCATACAATCAGAAACTGTTTGAATATTATCTGAGAACAGATTACAGGCCCCTTTACAAGTATTTCACAAATAGCGCACATTTTCCCTAGATTTGGTATAATTACTATGGTCAACAGAAGTCAGAAATGTGCACATTCCAGTACTTGTATTTAATATTTAGTTGCTGTTGATGTTTACCGTTACTTGATGTATCAATAAAATGATGATGTGTGAAAGGAGGGAGACTAGAAGGGCAGAATCCCAGCATTCCCTTTGAAAATAAAGTTTGTTCGTTCATTCAGTCTATTCTTCTTCTTCTTTCGTTCGCCTAAAATAAGTTATCTATATCAGCAGTTTTGTCTCTTGTATAAATTTCACTGTCGTTGTTAGTTCATTCAGTGGTCCATAGAGTTTACGTTCCACTGTTGTTCTTTCTGGCCAAAAGGTTTGCCTTAATGTGTCATAATCGGTGCAGTCCTGGAGTACGTGCTCTGCGGTCTGGGGCACATTTCCACAGGTGCACATGGCTGATACACCTATCTTGAATTTTGTGTACATGTGGTTACGTAATCGTTTGTACCCTGTTCTGAGGCGGAAGATAATGACTTGTTCTGGTCTGTCCATAATAAAAAAGTCGTCTTGTGCTGGGGCTGGTGGTTTCCTGATCGGTTTAATGATTCTTTTCTTTTGGTGGTATGTGACTGGTACATCTGGCTGCTCTTTTTCGCACCTTCCCCTGCCAGTTGATCAGCTTTCTCATTTCCAGGCACTCCACAATGAGACGGTATCCACTGCATTACGACTCTTCGCTGAACGCTGAGTTGTGTCAGCAGTGTTTGCAATTCTGGTTTCCTAGACTGGAGTGCTTCAAGTACTGATTTAGCATCTGTAAGCATTACCACATACTGTGAGCCAAGGTTGGTATTTAGCAGTTTCTCTGTAGCTATCTTAATAGCCTGGGTTTCTGCATCGTAGTTATGGCAGTACTTCCCGGTTGGTACGCTGGACTTATCCCTAGTACCATCTGGGAATTCGATGTACACTCCAGCACCACCATTTCTAACTGCACTTTCTGCGGACCCATCTGTATAGACTCTGACCCATCGTTCTTGTGGGTATTCGTCATCAATATAACTGAGGGTGGCCATTTTGCGTTGTACACTATCTTGCTCTTTCTTGTCAAATATCCCTTTCACATTTGTCTGGATTTGTACCGTTTGTATACATTTTTCTCTCCGTGGGGTTTGTTCCGGAATACTTTTAAGTGGGCAGCCAATTTCTGGAAGGTCAGGAGTTTGTCTACATATTCTTTTTGCTTGGTGTATAAAGCTGCTTCTTTTTAACCGTCCCAAGGCTAGGTTCTTAAATCTATTTTCCATCGGGTGATCTGGCATACTGAGGAACTTTTCAGCTTGTATTTGCAACTTTGTATCTCTGCGTTCTCTCAGTGCCTGTGTTTTCCCAGCTTTCTCCATTTCTAATATGGGGGTTGATTTCATCCCTCCTGTGATGACTCTGAGCGCTTGATTTTGCACTTTGTCTAACTCCTTTAATGTGGTACTAGATGCTGAACACCATGCAGTTGACCCACATTCCAAGTGTGGAAGTATGCTCTGCTTGTATACTTTATTGAGTATTTTCCCATCTGCTCTCCACGTGGTTCCACTTAGTTTTCTTAGAATTGCTGTCTTCCTCCTGGCTTTGGTTGCTGCCTTGTTGATATGTTTTCTCCATGTCAACCTGTCATCAAATGTGACTCCTAGGTATGTGGGCTCTTTATCATCTCTCAGGGGTATTTCGTTTATTTTGATGGTGCCGGCTTTTTGCTTTGGGGAGAGGGTGAATAGTGTGGTGCTACATTTGTCTGTGTTGATGCTGACACACCATCTATTGGCCCATGCCTCAAGTGCATTTGTAGCCCGCTGTAGTGTTTTTGTGGCTATCGTTGCATGTTCATTGGTGCACCATAGTACCAGGTCGTCGGCATACATTGCCATTTTGATTCCATTTGGTATCTCAGCAACCAGGTCGTTGATAAATAAAAGGAAAAGTGTGGGCGACAGGACACCACCTTGAGGGACGCCTTGTCGCAGTAGAACTTTTTTACTTTTAAAACCATCTACCTGTACCCGGGCTCTTCTGTTATGTAGATATGCTTCAATCCAATTGTACATTTTTCCATTTATTTTATAATTTCTCAATTTCTTCAAAAGCCCCTCCTTCCAAACCTTGTCAAAAGCTTTCCTTAAATCTATCCATGCCGCGAGTACCAGTTTCTTGTCTTGAAAAGCATCCTCTATTTCTTGGGAGAGGTATGTTGTCTGGTCTTCCGTAGAATTGAACTTTCTAAAGCCTGCCTGCTGCGGTGTAATGATGTTTTCACTTTCAATGTACCACTGTAGTCTGGGGTTGGTGATGCGCTCCATTGTTTTACAGAGACAACTTGTGAGGCTGATCGGTCTGTAGTTGGAGGCATCATAACCGTCTTTCCCAGGCTTTATGAGGGGTATCATAATTGCCTCTCTCCAGATCTGTGGAACATTCCCTGTTGCCCAGCAAGCATTAAATATCTGTAAAAGCTTTGTTTTGGCTACTTTTCCTAAGTTTCTGATCATTTCGTTTGATATACCATCTGCTCCTGGTGACTTCCGCATTTTCAGCTTTGAAATGGCCAACTCCAGTTCATTAAGTGTAATTGGCACCTCTAGCGCCTCTGATGTTATTTCTTTCTGACTTCTAAATTGTGTCTTTTCTTGAATTTCGTGTTTTTTCTCTGAACTGATTTCAATGCCGTTATTTAAAGCAAAAGTGTCCGCAAATAGTTTGGCTGCCTCTTTTCCTGTGACCATGTTTCCATCTTTCTGCAGCGTGATCTTTGAGTTCCACCCCGTGTCCTCATCATTAATTTGTTTCACAAGCTTCCATAACTTTCTTGTGTCTTTTTTAAAGTTCAGCGACCTTGTTTTCTCCTGCCAGCTTTCCCTTCTAACCTGCAGCTTTGCCCTTATAAATTTTGCTTTTGCATGCTGGTAGTTATTGTGATGTTCTTGGTTTGGCCTGGTCTCTGCTATCTTTCTGGATGTTTCTACTTTGTTATGTAAATTTTCTAGCTCATTACTCCAGTATGGCTTATAATGCTTACGGGCACCTCTTGGTATTGATTCTCCTGCTGCCTTTAGTACACACTTGTTAAATTCTTTAACTACTTTGTTTATATCCTGGTCTACGCTGAGACTTCCAAGCAGTATACTGGTACGGTGCTTGAACATTGTCCAGTCAGCCTTCTTGTAGTTCCACCTTGGCAGCGTACTAGTTTCTCTGACCTTCTCATTTTCTACATTCAGGAAGACCGGTCGATGGTCACTGCCTCCCAGTTGATTTCCAACAACTCGTTTAATGTTCCATTCCAGATCTGGAGAGTGAAATGCTAGGTCTGGGGTAGTAGTGGTGTGCCACGACCTCGAGTAGAATGTGGGTGGATCAGTTGGCCTATTAATAAGAACAAATCTGTTCTCATCCTGCCACTCCTCCAGTTTCTCTCCTCTCTGGTCTATATGGTCATATCCCCAGCTTTGTGAGTGGCTGTTAAAGTCTCCACATAGAATCATCTTTTCTTCCACTGGGATTGTGTCTAAAGCCTGGGGACGATCACTTGGGCAGTAATAATTGATCAGGTAGAAGTCTGCATTTCCAGTCTGTAGTTTCAGAATCTGATATTCTGCTCCATCCATATATACTTCAGTCTGGCACGCAGTGATATTGTTCATCACAAGAGTCAATATTCCACCCTTTTTCCTGCCTTTCCGGTCTGATCGGAAGCACTGATAACCTCTGATTTTGAAGACTGTGTCTTCAGTGAGGTGGGTTTCCTGTAGACAGCATATATGAATCTGTTCCTCATTTAGAATATTTTCTAACTCTAGCTTTTTATTTGTAATCCCCTCTGCATTCCAGTGCATTAATTTGACTCCTTTCTTAGTTCGGCCAGATGCTCTATTCTCACGTCCCCTGGCTCCACAGGACATTTGAGAAGGACCTCCAGTAATTTGGGTTGGGCCTCTTCATGGCAGAGGGCCCGGCACTGCTCCTGCCTGAGAGTCCATCACAGGGCGAGCACCATAACGTTTTGCTGATATAGACATATTTCCATGGCGTGTATGCGTGGCATCCTGATTGCTGTGGTGCGCCTCCTGGCTGGTTGCCTCCGACTTCAGCACCTTGCTTTGCTAGGGTAGACTGTGATCATACTCGAGGAGAGTAGGCTCATCCATTCGTCTTTCGCCTTTACCTCGTTTGTTGTCCCATCCAGTTTCCCGCTGGGGGTTGAGACCCCAACCTTCAACTGGATTGCTGGGAAGAACAGGGTCCACCACGTGAAGGTGAGGTAGGCTTGAGCAAGAGAGGCTAATAGACATTAAGAGTCTTGTATTGCGCATCATTGCTCCATTAGGACCCCATTCAGTCTATGTCTCTAACTACCTTCCTGCACTTTAAGGTCTCCCTTTATCAATTTAGTCCTGTGGGTTAATAATAACTTTATTTTTTTATAACAGTTTATTTTCAAGCTTTAAAAAAAAAGCAAACATTTATGTATAAAAAAAAACTGTTTAAAAATAAAACGATGAGCTGCTGTAATTAGTTAAAGGGATAAGTACTACAAGCGGGTCACAAATTACACAAACATAATATGTAACTTACCCTCACTTCACAACCTACCCACAAATTACATACAACTTACCCATACATCACCTACAACGTACTCACACATTATGTACAACTCACCCTCAAATTACATGCAAGTTACCGACACTCTACATGCAACTTACCCACACATTCGTCCCATGATCTCCAGAACAAAAGCTCTCTTGTGGCTGTAATACACAACCAAAGAAAACCGGTTTTAAAACAAATATTGTTTGCTTTATTTAGAATTTAGTTTATGCAGAATGAGAGTATATATATATATATGTGTGTGTGTGTGTGTGTGTGTGTGTGTGCGTGTGTGTGTGTGTGTGTGTGTGTGTGTGTGTGTGTGTGTGTGCATGTTAGTGTGCATACATGTGTGTGTGTGTGTGTGTAAAATTATGTATATTTAAATATATATATGTATGTATGTATGTGTGTGCAACATAAACTGTTAACTAAGAGAGCTTTAAGTCACAGTAAGTGCCTTGCCCCCTCAAATTAGCAGTAGTAGTTGTTGTGGTTGGGCGGTTACACCATAGTGCTGTCATACAGGCAACAGCCAGTAAGGTGATTGTGTTTTTCTGTCCGGGAGCGAAATTACACATCCTAACCTGACCAGTCCTTGGGGATAGCACTAGCCATGCAGCGCCAAATCTTCTGGCTCACGACTCCCTGTCTACTCCGATGGTAAAACAGATAGCAGTGACATTATTTTAGTTATTGTGGTGGTGGTAGTTGTACTGGTACTTGAAAGATGGTGTGGTAAATATTACACTAGCCGCATTTACTACTCATTACAATTCCTGCTCCCCATTTTAGTCCAGATGGACAGTGATATTAAGGTCAGTTTCAAGGTCAGGTGATGACTTTCAAATCCTTCGAAGAGGGAGAGAGAGCAGTAGTCTGTGGATGGGGGAGGGGAGGGGGAGATGACTGAAATTGTTAACTTAAAGAGCTTAACACATGATTTTAAAGTCTTCATTTCTTAATTTGTTTTTATTTTACTAACGCTACCTCTATTATTCTCTTTTTTTTTTTCCACAACTTGCTTGGTTATTTTCAAGTACAGTAGTAAGCTTTACTTCCGTCTCTTAAAAATAAAAACACACAAACAGCTTTAGCATGTGATAACAAAATAACCATTTTTTTTTTACTGTACTAATAATACCATTTAAACGACCACTAATATAAAGACACGATTATATGTTGCGTGTTACAAAGTTGGCAAACCAGATTATCTCTATATCTGGGCAGGCAATGATTGCGACATTAACTATATTAGACACGTGCGATTTCAATTGTCCTTCTTTTCCAAGAACCTTCGATGAGGGAGATAGTAGTAGGTGGATTGTGGGAGGGAGGGGGGGGGGGGGGGGGGCATCGAAGACTACTACCTCTATATCAGACAATGTTTGCGACAGTAACTATATTAGACACTTGCAATTTCTATTTTCTTTCTTTTCCATTTAGCCAAACTATGCCACAGCAACACGTGGCCAGGTACATCTAGTATATATATATATATATATATATATATATATATATATATATATATATATATATATATATATATATATATATATATATATATATATATATAACATAACGAGTACAAGGTGAACAAGATCACCACATAACCAATAAGCTTTATGAAGAACAGTATCCTTTACTTCCTATTTTACATCACACTAAGGCACACACAAAATAACAGAAGGTTAGATGGCCCAATATTTTATAACAAAAAGCAACACAAAACAAAAAACTGAAACCAGAAGAGATTGGATGTGCCAGGGGCATTTTACAGAAAGTTTCAAAATAAGATAAAGCCAGCTGAATATGATGTTGATGAAATCACAAACAGCCAGTTGGTCTATACCAGTGTTTCCAACTACACTAATGGGCCCATGTACCACAGTTAAGGGATGAGTACCACAAGCAGGTCACAACTCACACACACATAACATTTAACTCACCCCCACCTTACATGTAACCTACCCATACATTACATACAACTTAGCCACATATTACGTTATGTTGTGTGTGCCATGTTCCATGCCATCTGATTACGTTAGGGGAGCAATCTGACTGTTCGGGGGGACAGGGGTGTTGGGGGAGGGGGCTATTCAAACATGGAATTGTCAAGAGTTTAAGTTACACAGGAGAACATAAGAATTTTATAAAAGCTTAGGTGGAGCATGGTACACAAAAGGTTGGGAAACACTGATGTACAGAAATAATGGTGTAGAACAGTTTGTTTGCTGTAGCACTGTTAGCGTATTAGTCAGACCAGTGTCTCCTACTGTACGCAATACGGTTCAACTCACATTTTTGGACCTAGAAACAGTGACTCCGCTTCCCCCTCATAAACTGCAGTGTGGCTGGTCTTGCGAGGGTGTCACGCTTACTGACCAGCCGGTGAAACGGTCCCAAAACATGCAGAACTGGCCCTAACCCCCCCCCCCCCCCCTACCTCCCATGAGAGAATGCTGCATACTGTCGTGAAACCTAGGCTGCATGCAGTCATGGGAGGTAGGATGCACTCTCTCGTGGGACATGGGGAGGGGGAAGCGCTCACATCCTGGAATATACAACACGTGATATTGCCGGTCGGTGAGAAAAACTAGTAAAATTCACTAAGCGCGACACCTCCGCAGCATATGACACACCCGGCCACACAGCAATTCATGAATGGGAAAGGAAGTCACTGTTTCTGGACCCGAAAATGTAAGTTGTACCAGCAATACTTTCCCACTGGTAGGGAGGTACCAGCCACTCTAGACCAGGGCTGTTCAGCTTAGTTTACTCAGGAGCCAGAATGTTATAAATAGGGATCTTCTTGGGCCAGAGCCACAGTATAGAGAGACAGTAACAGAATTCAGCTAACAAAGATCCATGGGCCATTTGCTATGGGCCAGATGTGACACACTGGGTTTGTGAGATCAATAGCTTTGCTCTAGTCACTCACCTGACTGCTTTCTCGACCAGTCTCAGCACTGTTCCTGGTGCACCACCATACGTGGTTCAGCACCTACAGATCATGGCTGTATTGACGGGAAACCCAGGGAACCCTGTATAACGTCACGAATGTCATAAAGGGTCAGAAGACCATAGGAAACGAGAGAGGCCGGTAAATGATGTGTTTAGTGTATTTTGTGTTTTGATGAACTGTGGTAAGCAGAAAGCATGAGATAAGAACGAACCTTTGAACTTGAGAAAGGACAGAGAATCAGTTGATGTTTGGACACGTATATGAGCGGTCGAGTGCAGAGGATCGACTGTGAAAAATGCAGATTGCCTGACTAAGTTTAGGAGATTGACTGGGACGCTGAGAGACATGGCGGTGTCAGTGTGAGCCAATGTCAAACGACTCCTAGATTCTACTAGATTCTGCTGTGTGGAATTGCAAGTGCAAGTGGCCGGCATGAACGAGATGTACAGTCTGAAAGGTAATTGTATCTAGATTTGAGTTGTGATGTTTCTGAAGCAGTATTTGTAATTGGGCTCCTGCATTATTGACGGGAACAGTGACCCGACAGTGCAGCTGTTGGATCGGCTAATAAAATCAATAACTGCCGATAGGCGTGTTTGCCATCTGATGTGGTCAGACTAACATTTTACAACAAGGAAAGAAAGAACAGAGTTTTGATGACCCCAGATAAAACCTAGACGGAGCAACATTGCAATGACCATCCCTGAAATGGATTTAAAACAAAGCACAGACACTCACCTGACGGCTGTAGTCATGATGTCGTCCACCGCCTCCTGTATTCTATGCAGTGCTGAGTCCACCCCAATGGTCATGCTGGTCCCACAAAAGTCATTGTCAATGGAGCCCACCAGGCCAACGATATTCAAGTACGAGCAGTCAGTCAGCACGTCCTGGCTCAGAATGTCTAAAAGTAATTGGCAGTTATAAAACAGTTCAAGTGGCGTGTACTGAATTATAAGTGGACTAACATTGTACTAATAAGCAATCTATACCCAGGTGAGTTTTTGTAGGAGTGCTTTTGCATCTGCTTCTTTTGAGTTTACCCCAAAAGTAGTAGTTGGTACGTTATTTTGTGGTTTACAGCTAAGTTGTCATATCTGTAGCTTTTGATCAAATCATCTTTTACCTTTCCTTTGTCAAAGTGACGTAACTGCATTTGCATGTTTACAGCAAAGCTGTGATATCTGTGCCTTTCAGCCGATACATCAGACTTCATCGAGCATTTGTTGACCAGGTTAACTTCCTGAATAGTTATGTGGGATATGATGTAGCCTTATTTGTGTATTATTCTCTTTGTTCCCTTATCTACATGTGTTTCCTCTGGAGAACCCATTCCCCACCTCCCCAGAGGCTTCCATAAATGCAGAGCTGACACATGAGAACTTCTGGGCTCGCTCAAGGAATCATCACATCCTGCACATGATAGCTTAACCTCCCATCCTTATGTTGAGCTTTCCACTCATCACATGCTGTGTACATATCAGCAGGAAGCAACCCCTCACAGCCTGGAATTAGATGACCACACAAACAAGTACATTCTTCTTTGGCCCGCTAGGCAGCTCTAACCTTGTTTCACCTGGACACTTGGCATGACTTTATAGAAAAGCATACATCAGGCATGGCTTTTCCTCTTTGGGCCTGACACTCTGGCCAGTGGGGCCATGGGTAACGACATCTAAACCTTTCTGACAAATAGTAAGACATTGGACGGTCGGAAGTTTAGGACTGCTTTTATGCCATGTGTGACGAAATGACCTCAGTGGTCTCAGAAGTTATATTGTGTTTAATAATTTCTTATGTTCAGAGAAGGACAAAGAATTAAAAGCAATAGACACTGAGCCTAAAATAGTTCTAAAACCACTATAAGGGATTTGAGAATTGTTTAAACTGTGTTTCCCGTCTTAGCCAGACAAAGCAACCTTGCTTTATGTAATGTTACTTAATACTACTGTAGTTAGAGATTTCACCTGCCCATGTCATATAAGTATCTCCTGCCCAGTCTGTAGAGGCAAGTAAAGGGGGAGATAACTTCGTACCACACCTGATTAGCTCCCCTTAACCCGACTTTAGTGTCATAAAAAGTTACATAACACAGACTGAGTGGGGCCGTTTGATCAAACTGAAGCAGGGGAATTAGTGGTCTGATAGACATTTCTAGACAGGCCGGCGTCCAGCGTCTGAAAGTTTCACACATGATAGTGAAATTCTCAAGAGAACAGATGTTTGGCAATTAGGAATGTTTAATCTTGGTCAAGGTCGTACTGTAGGCTGTTCACTGTGAGTGACAGGCCCTTGATAGTTAGGTTGATCTAATAGGTACCTCAGAGGAGGGGCTTAGGTCATCTCCTTTAGGGTTGGGTAGAACCGAGAAGAGGGTGGAGGTAACCTTGCAGACAGATAGGGGTATTAATAAGACAAGCCCTGGAATTCTCGTCAGAATCGCTGCCACGAGCAAACAAACAGGTCGACCTTAGAGGTAATTCTAATGGTTTGATTCTAGTTGGCGATAGCTGGAAGTTTCCAGGTAAGCCTGTACAATTATTTTCAATCTTGTATACATAGGTTAGGGAGTTAGCTAAAATCTAGTCTACCTTTTCCTAATTTGTCTACACATTCTGCTTGAAATAGTCCTTTGTGAGTATTCAGTATCTCAGTTAGGGAACTGCTAAACTATTTCTATTTCTGGTATGTTTGTGGCACATGTTTTTCAGTGTATGTTTTCATGTTTATAAAATAAGACTTGTATACTAAAATGTAATGAAATTATAATGTTTCAACCATCAACCAAAACATGAGTTTGGACTGTGGGAAAAGAGGCCCACATATGCAGCCATGCTGTTACATTTTGTGTGCTCACCTAATGTGTTCACCTAAACCGGGGATTTATAACCATAGTGGAAGAATCATGAGTGTATATTATTCACTGTCACTGAAAGATAATATTCAGGACAGCATGCTCGTATAAAATGTTTGGCGTGTTCAGCACATAACCTGCGCCACATGTTTATGTCAAATCAATGTCAGCAAGTTGGAAGTCTGAGTGATGACGGACAACAGAAAGTCAACTATCATGACAGAACCTTAGAGTGAAGGCAGGATATGTGAGACGTCGATTGTGAGACACAAAGACCTTCAGAATAGACTGGAGAGAATGTGGAAAATGAGGAGTGATGAGATATAATGTATTATTGTATATTGTATTAATTGACACATGTATTCTTAGTGTAAGTCAAGATACTACACGTATGTGTTTGTTTCCATTATTACAGCTCCCATGTGGGTGAGGATCAGTCGTTTCTAAGAACAGAAATAGAGGGTCATCACGGTCACGAGACTACATTGTGCTAGAACTCGGCCAGCTGGGAAACAGGTGGGAACCAGGGAACCAGGTGGAAGGACCAGGAGAACTGGGCGGAAAGACTGGAACAGCTAAGAAGGGACTCAACACGAGGACTCTCAGAGGTTCCACTTTCTAAAGTTATGTAACATGTATTTATGTAACTAAACACCACCATTATCATTCAGTCGAATCTTAGGTGCTCAGTTATCTAGCTGAAGCAACTCATTACCACCATACCATCACTATTGACTAAAAATATAAAGAACTAAAATGATTGCTAGGTTAATAAATCAATTATATGGTCTTATCCTGCATCAGTTTTTATAATTCCAAGTGTGTCTGTTCTTACACGTTTAATTAAAATGTTAAGATAGAATAGCATTTGGTGGGGGCTCATTAAATAATAATACTAATTCTGTACCAAGAGAAGGTCGACGGATTGGGTCAACTGCCCTGTCTAGTGAATCATTCAAGATAAAAATATATAGACATCTAAAACCCATTTCTTTCTCTTGTGGGTACCAAGTTCAGCTAAAGTTAATATAAATAACGAGCCAATATGGCTGTTTTCTTGGATATCCAGGACTTTGTCTGAGAGCAACATAGCCCAGATAATAGTTCAGTTAATCTGGTGGAGGGGATGTGTTGAGAGGAAAATCCCTACTCAACATATAAATCATTTATACCCAAATCCAGAGAACCCACGACCCGGGACGTCACACTAAAAAGTGTTGTACTTTCCAAGGGAGTGGGCCGGAACGTCACACCATGTGTGACGAGATACCTCAGTGCTTTCAGAATTTAATATGATTAACAATTTCTTTTGTTCAATAAAGAAAGTGAGAATTATATTTACTATACACTAAGCCCAATCACTAAAACCATATGGGATTAAAAACTGTTTCCTATTCTTAGCCTAGACAAAGAAATATTCCTTGTCTAAGATTACATAACCAGCCAGTTTACCTGGGGAAAACCATTGGTATCAGAAATATTACATAACAGGCCAGGCTGGACCCTTCTGAGCTTGCTAAATCAGGGGAATTAAGTCTGGCCAGCAAGAACTTGGCTGGTTGTATGGCAAGAAAGTCCAGACATTGTTTCTTCACACTTGGCTGGTTGTTCACACCTTTTAGTGACACCAGGTAGGACTAGATTTGCCTGACTTAATAATGTTTAATCAGTAGAGGGAGTCAGTAGCTGATTGACCCTACCAAGAAAGATTACTGTAGCTTAGAGGTAGAGCAAGGGTAGGGCTTAAAGCCTCTCCGGAAAGAAGGAGTTTGATACAAATAAGGGGAGGAGCTAACTTTGCTAATGGAGGTGACGGGAAAGATTAATACAGCTAGGGGTCTTGAAACCAATTCAGTCTGAGGCCAGCATGCCATCGAATAAGAGCTACACTAGAACATCAGTCTAGCTGTGTGAGTGTTTTTTGGCAACCTGCTGGAATTTTCTGAGTTCATGCACTGCGCTGAGATTCTTCAGACCCAGGGTTGAGTTAGAAGTAAAACAAAGCACTTATGGATTACACCCGTGTGCCATTATGTTGATCCGTCTAAAAAACATTAACATTATGAGATCCAGATTGGAGACTACATCTCTGGGTGCCACCAACTTCAAGATCCCCCTGCCAGCTCAGTTCAGGTCACTTAGAAGGCGAGCCCTTTCCGTAGTGCACGACGAGGATGTGTGGCAGGAGTCTTGCAAGTTCTGAAAAACCAGCACAGAGCCAGCTGGTGACCATAGTGAGTTACGGAGTATCTCCTTATATGCATCACAACAGTCTTAACTTCGTCTCATGGCTGTGACAGAAATTACTGCATCACAAATACATCTTGTGTCAGCAAATCCCTAATTAACAACATGCTTGTTATTATGAGACTGGTGCCCTGCCTATTGTCTATTGCAGAGGAAGTCAGAGCACGTATGGGAATGTCCGAAGTGCAATGATGTAAACTTTTGACTGATTCATTTATTAATTCTTTAATGTCATGCGTGTTAGGGGCCAGTGCATCTGTTCTTATTTTTTCTCTTTCAGTACCCCCCACAAGAGAACTAAGTAGTTATAAATACACAAGCCTAGCACCTCAAGGCATGAAAATGGGTCCATTTCTGCTTCTTTTTCTCTAGTCCTATTCCTCCTTCCAGTGTCAGTTTTAAAGGGGCATCGGGTGCAAACCTTAATATGTGCTATGTTAGTCAGTTAGTTAGTTATTTGTGTATCCTTTACAGGACATTGCAGAACCAACCCCAGCATTTTTTGGCTGTTATGGTTTTTCTAAGCAAATTTAAGTCTTGTAGTTTGCCATGGCTTTCTGGACGGTTGGCTTCTCGATACCATTGTCGAAACCAACCTTCTTCGGGCTTAGACTTGAGGTAGAAAAAGAATGGCGCATTTATGGGTTGCACCGTTGTGCCATGATGTTGATCTGTTGTTCAAAACCTCAAACCTCTGCAATATTGGTCAATAAAATATATGTCTGGCCCTATAAGGCCAATAAGCCTGGAAGCGTGGAAAAAGATCCTTTCCTTTTTTTTTTCTTTTATTATACAACAGGTGTTTGTAAAATTAAAGCAATACTGGATGCTCATATTTTCTTCACTGATTCTGTGTTTGTGCTTACAAGTTGTGGTTTTTACAGCTAAGTTGCGATATCTGACCTTTTTGGTCTAAAATATCCAACTTCAACAAGCTCTTAGATTAGCCAGGCTGAAAAGTACAGATGATGCAGCCTTGATGTAGACCACAACAAAACATCCCAACCACCAACTGAAGGGCAAGCTGAGACCCCCCAAAAAAGGCAAACACCTAATTAGTAGCCTTTTTATGTGAGTCTTCACCCACCCCACCCCCCCCCCCCTTTTTCTCCTTACTGAAATGGGGCCACAGAACCTAAAGTCTTAACTAAATTCAGCTGTACAGTATTAGTTCTCAAATAAATAATTCAATGACAAACAGGAACCAATGAAATGTACATACTTCTGTCTACTAGCTCTCTCAGTAAACTGGGCCATTCTTTTCGAAAACAGTAAGCACCAGTAAGGCTGCCATCACCACCTGTAGACAAAAGCAGAGGGAGAGAATCAGGAACAGTTGTGGTAGCGGCAGGAGGAAGAGTAATAGTAGTGTTGGTGGTAGTAGTAGCAGCACCAGTAGTAATGGTGGTTGTAGGTGTGGTGGTGGTGATAATAGCAGTAGCAGCAGCAGCAGTATTAGCAGTAGCAGCAGCAGCAGTATTAGCAGCAGCAGTAGCATTAGTAGCAGTAATAGCAGCAGCAGTAGTAGTAGCAGCAGCAGCAATAATAGCAGTAGCAGAAGGAGTAGGCAGCACAACGGTAGCAGCAGCAGTAGTAGCAGCAGTATTAGTAATTTAGTAACAATAGCAGCAGCAGTAGTAGTAGCAGTAGTAGTAGTAGCAGCAGCAGTTGTAGTAGTAGTAGCCGCAGTAGCAGTAATAACAGCAATAGCAGTAGTAGTAGCAGCAGCAGCAACAACAGTAGTAGTAGCAGTAGTAGCAACAGCAGCAGCATAAGTAGTAGTAGTAGTAGTAGTAGTAGTAGTAGTAGTAGTACAGCAGCAGCACTAGAAGTAGCAGCAGCAGCAGTAGTAGTTGCAGATATAGTAATACCATAGTAACAATAGTAGCATTAGCAGTAGTAGTAGCAGTAGTAGTAGGAAGGATTTAAGAGGTGAACAGTTGAAAAGAGGAAAGTCATGGATGGCTCTAGTGGAGATGACTAGAGGTGACAGTCGAGTAAGAGTCGACTCTGTAGCATCTGCAATAGGGTGTTCACATGATTTTTTTGTCCACTAAAAACCCACCTTGGCGGAAGACATTTTACGAATGACACAGAAGTTGAATGTGAAGTGAAAATGTGGTTTAGAAAACAGTGCATGCAGTTCTATGCAGCAGGTTTGGGAGGACATGAAATGAGGGGACAGTGTGTGTGTAAAAATAAACAGCTTTCAAGTTGTTATCTGTTTTTTTTTTCTTTAAACAAACATTTGTGATTTATTTATTAACTTACTCTCGTGTAATACAGTAGCACATTATCGGCTGGAGAGAGGGAAAGATAAAAGCAAATTTTTAAAAAATGCTTACCAATGGCAATAAGATTGGTGATTCCATGTTCTATGAGATTCTGTGCAGCCTTCAACCTGCCCCAACGTTCTTTGAAATCCATGCACCGTGCACTTCCAATAAGTGTGCCTCCCTGGAGGGGAAAACAAATTACTGATATAAAAATAAGCAGCTGTAGTGTTTAGTGTAAAATTATGGAAATCTTCTTCTTCTTCGTGTTCACCGGCTGTAAACTTCCACGGAAAGTTCTTTGTTGTTCGTCCACTTCTGGACTGCAGTTCTATTTCAGAACCCGAGTGTTGCCTGTGCATCCATTGAACAGATCTGACTTGTTTGTGTACAGACTCTTGATTCCTCGCCTCTCAGGCAGATGTACTCCTACTTCGAAGGAAGCTCCCAATTAGTTGACATGCTTTTGGGTAGGCAGTGGGTCTATTCTTGTTTTTCCTATAATAGGGCCCCAGAACACATACAGGGTTTATTATTGAAATAAACTAGTGCGTACACCTAGCATTGTAAAATAGCAGTAGAGAATTTTCCAGCAAAGAAAGCTGGTAGGGACATTAAATGCTCACCGCATAGCATTAAAGAATGCCCTAGTATATGTGAAGGCAGATCACTTGATACTCTACTGCAGTATCTAGCATAGGATTACCTTCTATTTTATGACAGAATCATATAAAGATGTGTGCAAGTAGGACATGAATGATATACATATTGAGGAGGATCCAGGAAAATGCAGTATTCCATTGATGTTGTGTAAGGAGTTATTTTCTCCTTGATAATTTATGTTTGCATTGATAATGAGGTTGGATACTAAACATAAACTATGTACTTAAGCAATTGATACTCTACTGCAGTATCTAGCATGGGCTTACCTTCGCTTTTATGACAGAATCATATAAAGATGTGTGCAAGCAGGACATGAATGATACACATATTGAGAGGATCTAGCAAAACACATTATGCCATGGATTGTTGTGTAAGGAGTCATTTTCTCCTTGATAATTTTTGGATGAATGAAACTGTATACGAAGCTGGATGCACAAAAAATGTGAGACAAGCAAACGAAATGGCAAAAAGCATGCTAAAATAAAGAGAGCATAATTTGCATGTGTTTACTGGTCGAAGAACACGAGGTAGAGAAAGGTTACTTAAGCCTGGAATGATCGAGAATGATCAGTCTTGTTCAAGTCTGTTTTGAATCAGGAACGGTGTGGCTGAGGGAGGGAATGCTGAACGAATCTAATCATCAGTGAATGATTGTACCCAAGTTGAATTAAGTTTCTATGAAAACCTGGCTATCCCGTCGATCTGACTTCCCGTCAAGCCTGCACCTGGTTGTCTGTTGTTGTTGTGGATGGTTACAAATGGTGTAGCATCTACGTGAAGTGCTTCTATGTTATTCTCTGAAAGGTAACTTATATTTGATAATGCTGATTGATGCTGTGTCAAGTGGCCAAGCTTGGTCGCCCTAGACTACAATTACTTCTACGTGCCCTGGCCGACCAATCAGCTCTTTGATTGAACAAACACTGACAATGATCACCTGTGTGGCATTTGCATCGTTCATTGTTTAACCGGTTGAGTTATACGTCAGTGTACAGTTGGGAAGACAGCAAATGATAGAGCCCAGAGGATCATTGCAGTTGAGCTGAGTCGAGTTGATTCAAGAACTGACATCACAGCACTCAGGGCATTCCCATAAGAGATTTGTCCTCATCTTCAGCCCCCAGTGCAGAGTTCCAATACTAATGGTGCCAGTAGCAGACTAATTATACGTCACTCCTTGCTGCATCATTCTCACCAGACTGTGATGATCCATTTGCTCCTCCCAATTGTACACGTTCTCCCATAGGCCCTGACCATGTCTGCCATCAGTAATACAAGTTGTGCAGAGCCAGCCAGTCTGTGACATCCCATGCTCTAACTGTAAAAGACTTTTCTTAATGTGAACTCGTCTTGCTAACACACTCACCATCGCCATGGGCTGTGACTGCCACAGCTCTCTTAAAACCACATAACACTTTTTATTATAGGAGCAGTAGTTTATGCCGTGTGCCGTTGATAGTCTTGTCTATTCAACCTTCTGTCTCACCTATTTTCAATCAATTCTGACACAAATAATCTTCTATAGTTCATGCTGTGTGCAGTTGATAGTCTTATCTATCCACAACCTTCTGTCTCACCTACTTTCAATAGATTCTGACACAAATGATATTCCATAGTTCATGCCGTGTACCACTGATAGTCTTGTCTATCCAAAACCTTCTGTCTCACCTACTTTTAATCAATTCTGACACAAACGATCTTCCATGCAATGATACCAAACTGTCCAGCATCTTCTCTCTTAGTCTCCCTCTGCCTCTTTTCCATGACAACTTTCTTGCCCGCAGGATGTACTTTAGTTTTCCCCTTCTCATGACATGACCGAAGAAGGCAGACTGTCTCTTTCTGATGTGGGCAACCTGTTCTCTTCATGAGCCAATTCATTTTTTTTTTTCAAGACCACTTCATTAGTATTTTTATCTATCCAGAGTGTTCTCATCATTCATCTATAAAACGACATCTCTGCCCTTCCCACATAATTTTTCACAAAGCCCACAACAAACAACTTATGGCAGTATCATAGCTTACAAGAATGACTAGATTTTGCTCATTAGAGAGAAGAAATTTGGTCTACACAAGCAAGCCTACGAGGCAAACTATGGGTCAAAGATGAAGACCTTCAGTACACTTTCCTGTTTGTGACCCTTGCTGGAATTGATACATGGCACAGAGCACAAAAGTAAAAGAAGCAGGTGGTATTACCTACTATGAAGTTATTGTTACAGCGTGTTTCAAAAGTCATGCCCTCACACTTGAACAAATATCTCAAAAACTCCTGTACGAATCAACACAAAATTTCTGCAAGTGGTCTTAGATTTCCCATGTCCTTGAGGTGCTGCTGTTTTCAAAGAGCTGCAAATTTCTTTGACCTTTTTCTAAACATTTGTGTACCCCTTCAAAGTAGAAGATATAGTAACTAACACATGCATGGACATTGTTTGGAAATCAGCTCACATGTCTATTATCAACAAAAGAAGAGAGTCAAATCAATTAGAAAGCCACCAAAAACTGGCACAAGACAAATACCATTTCATGGACAGATCAGAGCCAGTCATTCAACACCTTGAACAGGACACAATCGACTTTGCAGCCAGGTTTACAAATAAAAGATTGGCGAATCAGCCATGTGCACAAATGTGGACTGGCAACTGAGACAACAGATTACATCTTCCAAGACTGTCCCAAATACATTTCCATGCAGAACTTCTGTCCAAGAGAGACACTGGTAGAAGCTTTACAGGCCGCTAAGTGAATTACAAACGACAGTGAAGTTTATATCAGAGACAGCATTGCAGATAAGGATAATTTTTTTCAAGTGAACAAAAGAAGAAGAAGTTCACACGTGGAGCAATGCGTGATGCTTATTTTGACAGCCTATCCTGGAAACAATGAAAAATCCACAACTCATGGCAGGCTAATGCTGGAGATGGCAATCTGAGAGTGAAACGCCTAGGAAAAACCTGCAGTCTGATGTCTTTAAAAGTTTCTGTTACTCAATTACCTGTAAGCATGTCTGCTTTGAATCAGTCTGTTTTTTGTTTATTTTTCATATACAAAAAAGGCAAAATAAAAACTAGATGTCTGTTCACAAAAACGAAAGTTTCCTACAAGGATATGATTATTAACAGACTGCATGCCAACTTTCAACAATGTACCCCAGACGGTTACTGAGTTTTATATTTGTAAAGATGGGCGCAACATCTGGAACAAACTATAACATTACCTCACACGGCAGTATGACTCTGTTTCAACTCACCACATGTATCATATTAGACGTACTAAACCAAGTGGCTTCCTCAATATTTTCTCCACCGTCTACCATGCCTTGATATCCCTGTCAGAAAATACAACTTATAAACATAACGGATTCATACCTCCTGTCCTAACATTTTTTACACAGCCAAAATAAAAATAAAAAACTATTTGGCATTGTTTTAATAGTTACACAAATTCTGGTAATTAGGTAACCGTGGTTGCAACTTCATAGCAAACGGGTCCTCATAGTTGCTCCACTCCTGTGTCTATGAAAATACACAGAATGTCCAACAGCGTCTCTTGTGAAAATTACTGAAACAGATGGCAGCTCAGCAAAGCCAATTGCATATACACACATTAAATGAAAAAGCTGTCAGGAGTGCCAATATTTGAAATGCAGTTCATCATTGACAAGAGAAGCAGTTACAACAGACAAGCAGTTACAACAGACGAGCAGTTACAACAGACGAGCAGTTACAACAGACGAGCAGTTACAACAGACGAGCAGTTACAACAGACGAGCAGTTACAACAGGCGATCAGTTACATCAGATGAGCAGTTAAAACAGATGAGCAGTTAAAGTAGATGAGCAGTCGCACATCAATTATTAAGGCAATACCAGCTCTCTGGCAACAGGCCACTGGCTATTTTCTGATTCTGCAGTTCACAGTGAAAATCATGCTGGGCACAGTCAAAAGCATCCCAAATTAAATTTGCAGCTCACAGTGTTGTGCCATGCACTCAACTCAGCAGCTGTATGACAAAACTATATTCCTTGAGTCTACATATAGAAGAAAATGCAACAGATAACTAGTGTCAGAAGCAAAAACATGCCACAACTAAAAACAGTAAGCTTGTATATTCACCATACTGACCAGAGGAATCTATGCAGAAACTGCAAAGATGTGGTTTTACAGAAGAATCTATGCAGAAACTGCAGAGATGTGGTTTTACAGAAGAATCTATGCAAAAACTGCAGAGATGTGGTTTTACAGAAAAATCTATGCAGAAACTGCAGAGATGTAGTTTTACAGAAGAATCTATGCAAAAACTGCAGAGATGTGGTTTTACAGAAGAATCTATGCAGAAACTGCAGAGATGTAGTTTTACAGAAGAATCTATGCAGAAACTGCAGAGATGTGGTTTTACAGAAGAATCTATGCAGAAACTGCAGAGATGTGGTTTTACAGAAGAATGCTGAGAACACTATGGTCAGATGATAAATGTGAAGATGTCTGGGGATTTTTTTTCTCCCATTGACCTAGGCTCACAGGTTATTTCAGGGTGTCAGGAAAGTGTACTGGAAAATGAAGGCAGCTGACTTCCTCAATCACTGGTGTAAATAAAAATGCACAAGCTGATAGGCTTGCAGGTAAGGCTAATGCAGGCGGATGAGAAATCGACCATCCTAATATGCTGAGTGCTCTACAAGTAGTATTCTCCCCCCCCCCTCTCCACCTCCCCCCTCCCCCACAATAGAGCCCCAGAACCCACCCATGGAAAGTTATTTTAAGTACTCTACATTCCGTGCTTGATAGGTTTAGGTTTGGATGACGGATCAACATCATGGCAAAAAGGGTAACCCATAAGTGCTCTGTTCTACTTCTGACTCAAGACTCAGAGAACGAACTCCGTAGCACTGGCGAGGATGTTGAAATACTTTGGGTAGATTTTTAACTGCAAATTTTGCCCGGGCAGCGCTATTAGACTACTTTTTTTTAATTTCCAACTGCCCAGATAAATTCTATGTGCACAACAATACACACGGGCATCTGATCTTACTACCCAGAGACCAGGGGAAATTACTAAAAGTCCACATGAAAAAATCCCAGCCTTAACCAAAGCCTGAAACTGCGACCTGCAGCACTAGAGGTGAACACCATGCCTCAAGACCATGCAGCTTCCTTAATCCTCCTTAGCAGCCCCCTTAAGACCCCTCCCCCCTACCAGCTTGGTAGGTGATGATGTCAACATTATGCTGGCTGTCTTTACTTCCCTAACTTGCTTATTCCTAAAATACAGCTGCAGTGTGAAAGATGGCTGTTTGGAAACGCCGAATGTAAGACGGGCCTGCGTGCCCAATTTGTGACCCTTTGAAAATAAAGTTTGTTAGTTCGTTCATTCCCTAGTACCAATTTTGGTCTGGGCTGACCTGGCAGCCAGGTAAATAATAAAGTACTTTGTTGTGGATTCAAACTAAAGACATCTGAGATGTTAGGTAAGCATCAAGTCATAGCACTACCATAGCTCCCTCAAGTACAAAGAATGTGATGGTTTCCCCTGACCTTCTACATTTGGAGAGTCGTCAGCGGGTTTCAGCAAAAAACACTGAGCAATAACAATGCTCAAGAAATAACGACACCAGACAATATCTATAAACAAACAGGAGTTCAAACTTATGCAGAGCTAAAGACAACACTGTTGAGAATATAGGACAATGAGGCTACAAACTAGATGACTTCCACACCAATCTTTGAAGTGACCAGGGCTTTTCTCAGGCAGTAAGCAACAGTACACAGTACTAGCACTTTCTGTTTTTAAGGCATCATTCTGTATTTAGTGGTACTGTAACAGTAACTGTGATGAATGCTGCCATGGGGCACTCTTCTACACACACAAAAGCTCTTGGAGTAACTAAACTATCAATAACAAGGATCATGGGGTTGACTATGAGAAGTGACTGGCTGAACAGTTAGAAAACTAGGCTTTCATTTGGAAGACACAGGGTTCAAATCCAAAGTAAGGTGTAAATTGTTTTTCCCTAAAAGGGCAAAGATAAAAAAACAAATACCTTAATTAACACAGTTTCTGTTGACAGCACTAGCCTGTGGCCTCTAATCCTGGGATTCAAGACCCCACTGTCATACAGCATCCTAAACACAGGCACTAATGACAGTTGTATGCTACAGAAAGATTCTCAGAAGAAAAGAATATTGACATCCTAAACACAGGCACTAATAACAGTTGTATGCTACAGAAAGATTCTCAGAAGAAAAGAATATTGACATCCTAAACACAGGCACTAATGACAGTTGTATGCTACAGAAAGATTCTCAGAAGAAAAGAATATTGATATCCTAAAAAATCTGAACCTCAAAAAAGATTGGCAAGTAAACAGCATCTTGCCTCAGAAACTGAAACATTTTAGACATATCAAGTGTCACGACAGAATGATACAAAATTTTAAAAATCACAGAAGAAGGCATGGTACTTGGGAGAAGGGGCAGGGGCGAACCAGAAAAAAGAAGGATACAGGCTGTAAGTGACACCTTAATGTCGCGTGCGGATATGCACTAGAAAGCACCAGTACTGAGCAAATAGGACGTCAAAACAATAAGTAATGTTGTTAAGGGATTGTTGTCAAAAAGATTTGATGTTTACAGTCTGAAGGAGACAGACGTGTGGATCCTTGAGGATGCTTTACCCCGGGATGCCACTGAAGGAATGGTAATCAAAAGTTGGATCCTTGAGGATGCTTTACCCCGGGATGCCACGGAAGGAATGGTAATCAAAGTTGGATCCTTGAGGACGCTCTACCCCGGGACTTCCCTATAAACCTCAGCAGATAGCTGGTATATTGATTGTCTATTGTGCTCGTCAGGAAGCCGGTATACGTATATTACCTGTTCAGACTGCAGAAGAGAAGATCGAGATGACTGTCCAGATTTCCAAGGTCGGACTGCGACACGTCATTTGTTATAAAGTCAGTTGATGTAGGAGCGGACTTGTGTTGGTGTGTTCGGATGAGTCTGGAGTTTATTTAATTACACATTTTTTCATCTGTTGATCGAGTGTATATATATCAATACAACAGTTGGAACTTAACTCATAGCTTCATTGTTCAACTGTGTTTGGAAGCATTGGAGTTCCTACTGTTCTACCGTTTGAAAGCATTGGAGTTCCTACTGTTCTACCGTTTGAAAGCATTGGAGTTCCTACTGTTCTACCGTTTGAAAGCATTGGAGTTCCTACTGTTCTACCGTTTGAAAGCATTGGAGTTCCTACTGTTCTACCGTTTGAAAGCATTGGAGTTCCTACTGTTCTACCGTTTGAAAGCATTGGAGTTCCTACTGTTCTACCGTTTGGAAGCATTGGAGTTCCTACTGTTCTACCGTTTGAAAGCATTGGAGTTCCTACTGTTCTACCCCACTTGGCCTATTTCATCGTTAGTATGCCACACATTACCATGAAGCCGCCGCATGTCACACTTGAGTAGGGAAGTGCATGAAGCGGAAAAGCTGGCAAGAGGCCGAGTTTCTTTCAGGCAGACTCTGATGACAGCGACATTCTCCAAAGGAACCTGCTACATGATGATGAATGACAGATGTTGACAATGATGAGGGAGGTGATACTGAAGTAACTATCACTTTGACAAATCAACAAATTAGGACATGATTAGAAAACAAAAACAAGTGAAGGGGAAGTCAAAACATACTAACCTCTTTTATGTAGTATACCTTACAGCCCAGGTACATGCCCACCCTGACTATAGCACGAACTGCAGCATTCATTCCTGTTGAAACAATGAAGTCAAGGCACAGCAATTCTTATGATATCCTTTTGATCTTATCAATAAGTAATGCAGCAGGAACAAAAAATTAAACGTGCCCATCACAAATAATAATTCCAACCTCAGGAATCACCTCCGCTGGTAAAGACTGCAATTTTGCAACCTATCCAAGCTTCCACTACAAGTGAATATATATATATATATATATATATATATATATATATATATATATATATATATATATATATATATATATATATATATATATATATATATATATATATATATATATATATATATATATATATATATATATATATATAAGAGGTTAGGTTTAACACAGGAAAAAAAGTAATCAAATGAAGTGGTTCAGGAGAACTGGAAATAAAAACAGGGTGGTTGAAAGAAAGCGATAAAGAGACAACTGAAGCATTTCAAGAACATTTGAAGACAAACAATCTTATGAAACAAATGAAACATTTCAAGAACATTTGAACAACAACAATCTTAAGAAACAACTGAAACATTTCAAGAACATTTAAAGACTAAAACTCTTATAAAAACAAAGCTAAATGCAGAACAGCAAGAGACTGATACAATTGGAAGGATAATTCAAGCAATGGATTAACAACACTGTGAGACAGTGTACAAATAAGACAAGAACAGAGTGCACTTGAGATCCACTGCTGTTAACCTTAACTGTGTAGACAGACACATGATTGGTTAATTTTTCTAACTGAGGTCCTATCACTTTCCAGCCCAATAAGTAAGTAAGGAAAGGAGTGGTAAAGGACCCTTTTCAATGCCTTTAGGCATATAGGGCTAGACCTATATTTTATAGACCAATCAGCACAAGATGGGTGATGTGGTCAGCATCGCGCCAGTCGCTTTTACTTCCTGAGACTGCACCCGGTACCCACTCAAGGCTGGGTTGACATGGGAGCCAAGGTCATTTTTGAAAAAAGTCCAGCTCCACCAGGGAGCAAACCCATGACCTTCCGATTCGAGGCAAGTATCTAGCCGCTCCGCCACGGCGACAGCCCAATACATTTTTTTTAAATCAGTGCTGGTATATCCTTTACAGCACAAACTACAAATAAAATGTGCCACCCATTATAAACAAACATGCCCACCTTGGGAATCTCCTCCGCTGGTGAAGACGGCAATTCTGCGACCCATCCAAGCTCCTGCCACAAGTGGGATGCCTTCAGCAGACGGCAAATGCAGCTCCTCGTGTTGTTTCATAGCATTTGCCTCCAGGCTCATGTGTCGCTTCAGGATGCGGTCCAGTGTGTTGTGAAAAATCTCTTCCCACATGGTATCCTCCTCCTCCATGCTACTGACTATATATGAAAACAGTATACATTACACGTCACCATCTGTGGCTTAGAAACTGCAAATGTGCTTCATAATTCTGACATACCCGATTCACTTTCATCTGCAGGCGATCTGGCGGCAGACGGCTTCATGCTGACCTGATAATGGTCTGGAGTGGCAGCTATTCACAATGCAATGGCAAACTACGAAATGTAAAATACCCCTGGTAAAATCACTAACCGCCCCGACCCCCACTCCCCTTTTAATCCCAAATGCTAAAGTTGGCTCTGCAACATCTTTTAAAGAAAAACTGAATTAATTTAATACACTGCACGTTTGGGTGGATGCATGGAATGACAGGTGAGTTTTACTTGTGACTATATGAGAGCACTATAAACTGCACAACAATCTGCATACAATTAAGTCAGATCTGTTAAACGGATGTGCACGCAACACTCAGGTTCTGGAACAAGACTAAATCCAGAGGTGGACAAAAAAAAACCACAACTTTCTGCCAGAGTTTACAACCAGTGAATGCGAAGAAGAAGAAAAGGAACTTTTCCCGCCAAAGGTGTATCAGGCAAAATCCTTTTTTTTTTCTGGAGAAAGCTCACAGTTAAAACACAAATTCCTGTTAACCTGTTAATCAGTCATGTGCCCACAGCTCTCTTCTATAGATAACGAAACTCTGTCAACTTACCTGCACCAGGAGATTTGGCTAAATATCTTTGACGTGCCATGTCTACAAAAATACTTGATATTATGTGGCAAGATAAGATTCCAAGCACTTTTTCTTCTGCCTTGCTAACTCCCAATGGAGCAAAGGAACTAACCAACTCATGCCAAGTCATTCTATTCTTTGCTATCGCATGCAGCTCTTCCCTTGTCTTCCCCATCTTTTTAACTTCCTTCTCTAGCTCCCTTCTCCATGTTTTTTTTTTTGGGGTCTTCCTTTTTTCTAAGCCCCTGTGGATTCCAGTGCAAAGACATACTAGTTATACTGTTCCCAGGTTTTCTGAACATATGTCCTATCCAATGTCAATGTCTTGTCTTCACCTCTCGGTCCACTGGAACTTGTTAAGTTTCTAAACATTTAGCTTCTGGGAAAAGCAGGCACCACAACATATTGTTTAATACCCATTCTTTAAAAGCTAAATGTCTAGTATATACTTACAGGATGGACAATAGTAGAATTTTAAGGATATCACCTAAAGGGAATTCAATCAGGTGCCAGCTCCACAATAATGGTTGGCTGCAATGGATCTCCAACAAGCACTGTATCTTGTCTTGGTCGTGCACTCTCTCAGACTGCTGTTTGTTCATCTCTTGTTGTTATCTTCAGACTTGTAATGTTGTCTACTTCTTGCTCTCTTTCCCTCAACCTTTCCCTCCAGTATGGTTTTAAAAGAGTGACAGCTTTCAATGTGGCCAAAAAACTTCATCTGCCTCTTTTGTCTTTCACTAATTATCATTTCTTCACTGACAGTCTTTCCAGAACCTCTGTGTTTTTTTTTCCCTCAAAGTATGTGTGCACTGCAACAATGGTCTTGAAATTTCACTCACTTATTGTGAAAGAGTTTTCTTAAGGAGAGCTGTTTTTGCTAATCCCACTTGTCATCGCCATAGGCTGTGATTCTTATGCCTTCATAAAGCACACAAACACATTATCCTCTTGAAAGATGCCTACCAACCTTTAGTCTGATGGCTTTTGTTGCAGAATTAAAGGAACCTTTTCCCCGCCTTCAGTTGTGTTTGGCAAATATGGCTAAACAAAAGAACTAGCACCTATTTAAGGCTGGGTCGGTTCTTTGTTAATACGCCCCCCCCCCCCCCCTGCAGATGACGTTACAGGACAATCCAACATTTTAGAGGGTGGTAAGACTGGGTTTCCTGGCTCTCTGATACTTTTAACCCCAAAACGTCTAGAACTGGCCCTAATCCCAACCCACCTATGTCCCACGAGAGACGGCAGACTAGGTTGCACGACTGCATCATCATGCATGATGCATGCAGCCTATCTACCACCCCCTGAAATATTACAATGTCCCGTGACCTGTGGATTTCCCCTGTTTGGGGTAAGAAAACAGTACCGCTGGCTCTAATGGGAACTGAAATCCTTTTCTTTAACAGTGGGGTTCCATCAGGACCTGAACCTTCGACCTTCGGATTCGCAGGCGAGCGTCTAGCCGCTACATCACAACGGCCCCTTTGTAGAATTAACGCTTAATTCTGCTTGTTTATTTTATTGAGTTATTAAGCATGTCTTGTAATAAGTTAATCCAGGTAAACAATGCAAATTGTAGAACTTACGTGTTAGTGTCTACCGTTGACTGGTATGAAAAGAAAAGAAAGATGAAGATTTGTAAAAACAGCGCCGCTCTTACTTGGTCTGTGGCCTCCAAGTTGAAACTATGGCGACTGTTTGCAAACGGTTGCATCCAAAAGCTGGAACATCGGCGGAACAAAATATTTACGTTTATGAAACCAAACCTCCTAAAGTTTACGCCATGAGGCATTGGTAATCATATCTATCCACAACCTTCTGTTTCGTGTTCTTTAACTCTGATACAAATGATCCTCCATACCATGATGTCAAACTGTCCAGTATCTGTTCTCTCGGTCTCCTTCTGCATCTCCTCCCCTCCAACTTTTCTACTGTCACAAGTACACCAGTTTTCTCATTCTCATCACATGACCAAAGACTGAAACCAATTAAAACTTTAAAATGTAAATGATGAATAAAATACCAGGCATTATAAACAAGCTGCTAAAGGGGTCATCAGTGCACTTATAAACCAACTGACTCTAAATATTATAATAACCGCTAAGAAACATATTTAAAACACTGCTACAGTGCAAACAAAAATGTGTTTAATCCATTCCTTCCTTCCTTCATTCATTCATCAATCCAATCATTCACTGTTCTGTTGGACCGTTGTATGTAACAGACGGTTCGCAGTCTTATTCTCCATTCCGTTCTGTCCTACGCAATCGGGATGAAAGCCAGTCGAGCACCCTTGGCCTCTCTCAGCATCATTTGTTTTATGGTTTCTTTAAGGCTTCCTCGCTTCTTTAATTCATTTATTTCAAATTTAACTGCCTATTTAGTGATTCTCTGGTCGTTTCTTTTCGGGAAGAACAACGACTACTGTTTGTATTTACAACTTTTGATGTGTACGCACACACAAAAAGGGGGAGGGGTGGGGTTTCTTTGAGCCGTACAAATTAGGCCGTATGGCTAGTGATGTCGCCACGGAATGTGCAGGTTAGGGGCTATTTTTGCCATTGGCAGAGAAACGGCGTCTATCGCATGAAAGACTAGCGTTCTTAACCGTTCCGTCAGCCGTTCCTCTGTGTCAAAGACTAAACTTGGTAGAATTAACACATGTGAGGAAAGCCGACAACTTAGCTATCCGGGACCTAGTGATGAATGATACTGTCAGACAGACAGTGGGAAAAATACCTTGCATCAAATTCACTGAGAAGCAGATATCTTCTTCTTCTTCGCATTCACCAGCTGTAAACTCTGGCTGAAAGTTGTTCGTCCACTTCTGGACTGCAGTGTTGCGTGTGCATCCGTTTGACAGATCTGACTTATTTGTATGCAGACTGTTGGTTCCTTGCTTCTCAGACAGATGCGCTTCGACTTTGAAGGAAGCTCCCAATTAGTCGACTCTTACGACATGCTTTTGGGTAGGCAGTGGATCTATTCTTCTTTTACCTATAACACGGGGAGAGAAGCAGGTATCAAATGTTTCGGTCATCTCCTTTGAATGCAGCCACTGCTACCAACAGTCTGCCAGTTCCTTAGCTAACGCTGGGGTTTTCTGGAGCTAGGTGTCCAAGTCACAGACGTGGTTCTAGAAGCTTCAGTTTGCGTCTAATTTGTGGCTTTTGCTGGAGTGTTTCCTTGCTTTGTTTAGTTCTTAGGTCATTTAACTCTTTCAGACCCAACCAGATCCCCATACATTCCTTAGACATTTTAAATAATATATATTTTTTTTTTCCTGTTATCTATCACAGACAGTCTGTATTGTAACCCTTTGTGTGAGAATAATTAGTTAACTTCTGCCTCAAAGTATCATTGCTGAATTCCTTCAGGCATAAGGATTTAATAGCTTTAAGCCCGACTCTTTGGATAGGATTAGTTGAAGTAAAAACTGCTTGGGACTAAAAGAGTTAAAGAAAAATGCTGATCAGGGGTGAGTGTTTAAAATTTGGTAGGCAGATACCTTTCTAACCTTCTTCAATAAAAGTAAATTCAATGTGGACCCTCTTGGTGACACTAAAATCATGTTTTGGCACCCCCCCCCCCCTTTTTAACCCTTCAATTGAGCTCAGGACATCTGCCCTACATGCCATACCCTAGATACGTCACTGAAGAGCACAGACCTAATCTATAATTATGTTGATCGAGTGCGATGGCAAACCAGGAGCGCCTACACCAGCGGTTCTCAACCTGCGGGTCACAACCCTTTTTTGTGGGTCCAACGATCCTTTCATATGGGTCACCTAAGACCATCGGAAAACACATATTCATTGACGTTATGGAGGAATATGCAAAAGGGGGTGAGGCAGGGGTGCATTCTCTCACCATACCTATTCAATATATACGCAGAAAACATAATGAGAAATGTCAAAAATGACCAGACTTGTGACAGTTATGGTCCGCTCAAAATTGATGGCAACCCTATTCCGGAACTCTGCTACGCAGATTACACAGTCCTCCTTTCCGAACAGCGTAAAGGGAATCGAAAATTTAATATTGTCTGGCCAAAAGCACAGTGAAGATCAAAATCTGATCTTGAATTTTAAAAAAACGGGAATAATGTACACAGATAAAACTGGCTGTCACCCAAAAATAACAATAAATGATGAAGAAATTGAAAATGTCACAAACTTTGAATATCTAAGCTCTATAATAAACAGCAATGGAGATTGTTCAACAGAAATTAAAAGGAGGATGGCCTTGGCAATGAGTGAGTAAGTGACTTTCTACCCCACTAGGACATCACACA